CATGTCCGGTGCGTACTGGTTCTCCACGATGGACCTGATGTCCGCGTACTACCAAGTGCGCATGCGGGAAGAAGACATCAAGTTTACCGCATTCCAAGCGCCGAACGGTCTCTGGGAGTATCTCGTTCTTCCAATGGGAGTTTGCAACACGCCAGCAACGATGCACAGATTGACATCGAAGCTCTTTCGAGACTTGAAGAACACGAAGTCGTTCTACGATGACATCTATGTTTTCACCAAGTCACCGAAGATCGAGGACCATCTGGACGCACTGCGGAAAACACTTGACATCTTGCGTGATAACAAGTTGTACGTCAAGCTGTCCAAGTGTGTCATCTGCTCCGACGAGATCCCGTGTCTCGGAGATTTCGTAGGGCGAAATGGAGTTCGGATGGATCCAGACAAGGTGCAGACCATCAAGGACTGGCCTGTACCACGGACGCAAGAAGAGCTCCACAGCTTCCTTGGCTTGACAGGTTACGTCCAGCGATTCTGTCCAGAGTACGCATCTCTGACAGCCTCCATGTTTGCGCTCTTGAAGAAGAAGAACAAGCGGAACGCCAAGATTCATCTCAGCGACGAGCAGCTGAAGAACTTCAAGGAGTTGAAGCGGCGACTGTGCAACCCGCCAGTATTGCACTTGCCGGATTTCAGCAGCCCCATGCATCTGCGTACCGACGCAAGCAAGTTTGCTGTTGGTGGAGTCCTTTTTCAAGTGGTGGACGGAGTTGAGCGCCCGATAGCGTACACAAGCCGGAAGATGAAGTCGGCGGAGCTCAACTATCCGACTCAGCAGCAGGAGCTACTAGCGATCGTTCATGCGCTGGCAGCGTTTCGGATCTACTGCCTGGACAAACCACCCATCGTCGAGACAGATCACAAAAGTCTCGAAGGACTGTTCACCCAGAAGATGGCCAACCGTCGACTCGCTCGCTGGTACGACATCCTTGCGGAATACCAGTCGATGTTCTCGTACCTTCCCGGTGCGAAGAATGGCATCGCAGACGCGTTAAGTCGAAGGTCAGACTACAACCGGAGACGAAGTTCTTCCACGACTTACGGGTGACCAGCTTCGACGACACATCCTTCAGCCTCGCGATCAGCGAAGTAACGGGTGACTCGGAGCTGATTACGCGCATCAAGAAAGCGTACAAGAAAGATCGTGATGTCCAAGCAATCTTGACAGCAATCAAGCGACGCAAATCCGACTCAAAACCAAAGCGCGAACACCAGCAGCACAAGAAATACCGCTGCTACTCCGAAGCGAACGGGTTACTGTGGTATCAAACGCCTGCAGATGACGCTCCACGGATTGTCGTGCCTAACGATGTGAAGTTGCGACAGACAATTATCAGCGAGTGTCACGACACCAACTACGGAGGCCATCCCGGTGCGGAACGTACGTACTTGACACTGGCGCGCCATTGGTACTGGTCAAAGATGTTGAAGTCCATCCAGACGTTTGTCGCCGACTGCGAGCCTTGTCGGAGGAACAAGCCGCGGTTGACGAAACCTCCTGGGTTGCTCGAGCCACTCAGTATTCCAGACGAGCGTTGGAGATCCATCTCCATGGACTTCATCACTGATCTGCCGCGAACGGAGCGGGGCGTCGACTCTATCTGGGTCGTCGTCGATCGGTTGACCAAGCGGTGTCATTTCGTGCCAACCACCAAGAAGGTGAACGCCGAAGGTGTTGCTCGACTCTTCATCGACACCATCTGGAAGTTACACGGCATGCCGACGAATATCGTCTCCGACCGCGACCGCGACAGGAAGTTCGTGTCCGCCTTCTGGCAGCATGTCTTCAAGTCCATCGGGACGAAGCTAAGCATGACCGTTGCACATCGCGCTCAAGGTGACGGACAAACGGAGCGCATGAACCGAACCTTGGAAGAGTATCTTCGGTGCTTCGTCGGTCCACTTCAAGATGATTGGGACGTCCATCTCGCCAACGCTGAGTTCGCTGTCAACTCAACTGTCAACTCCAGCACGAAGCTTGCGCCGTTCGAAGCCGATCTGGGCTACATTCCGCTGAATCCACTTCAACTTGCATCCGAGCAACTTGATAGTGTCCCCAAGAGTCGCCGCGGAGCAGAGTTTCACGAGCGACAGGCGGCGATTCTCTTACGCTGTCGCGAAGCGTTAGCTCAGGCCCAAGAACGGATGCGCGACGTCTACGACCGAAACCGTGTTGAGCAGATCTTCGAAGTTGGTGACAGGGTATACTTGAGCACGCAGAATCTGAACCCGAAGCACTCCGGCTTGCCCAACTCCACCAAGTTCGGACCCAAGTGGATTGGACCGTACACCGTGGTGCGGAAGATTCATAACCACGCGTACGAGCTCAACATCCAGGCTGGCAACAAACTGCATCCCGTCTTCAACACTGCGTCATTGAAGCCGTACAAGGAGCTGACTCGCTTGTCGAGGCCAAGCGACGTAATCTTAGCGGACGGCAGCATTGGCCAGATCGTCAAGGCATTACGTGGAAAGCGAACGCGAAAACGGCGGACCCAATATCTTGTGGAGTGGGTGGGCGAGGAGAAACAAACCTGGGAACCAGTGGAGAACTTGTCGCAAGTCCCAGATCTCATCGCGGAATTTGAATCTGCAAGGCGAAAGAAGCGTCGAAAACGGTGAAGCAGGATCAGCTGAAGGGGGGCTCAAAGGCCTACATGTATTCCCGTATTACATCCCCTCGTGTTGCAGAACCTGCTGCTTCATGCGCTTCTCCCGCTTTTTCTGCGTCTTCGACTTGCGCTTGCCGTGGCGACACTTGTATCCTGGTTGCAGCTCCACTTGCGCCATCCATTTCACGTGCTAATTCCACTGCTGGTAACTCAGAGGAAGAACGTCCACCGGCGGGTTCTTGCGGGCATTGAAATTGTCAAGAGCCAGAAGTTGCTTCTTCGGACCACGGTTAACCACGACAAAGCAGTGCCCGACATCATTGCGGCCAGCGCTGACGACGTAAACACCGGGTGCTTGTTTGCGGCAAACACCTTGGAGCGTCGTGATGTGGGCACTTGACTCTGGAAGAGCGTTTCGGAGAAGGACGTCGTAGTTCAGTGGCACACTCTTGCGCTGCAGAACTTCGAAGAACTCCGTCACGTCGTCGCGAGACACACCGTACTGGATGGCTTCAGGTCGCGTGTCTTCATACGCATCCCACATCTCCATTGTGACTAGATCCGGCTGTCCGAGATAGTACAAGGCCGAGTGGAAAGCATCCATGAAACAAGTACCAGCCTCCGACGCGGAATCACGCTCCGAGTACCAATAACAGAAGGTGCGCTTGTCTCCCGATTCCTTCCAAGCGTCCACCATCCTCATCATGTAGTGCGTCGACGGTTTGTCGAGCTGCTCCATCCAGACCCAGCTTAGCTGTAGCGGATTGCCTTCCCATTCCACCAAGTAGCAACGGTGCGGAGCCTTGCCCCTGACATCCAAGGCACGGACGATGTCAACTTCAGTGTTGTAATCCCAAGGCTTCTTCGGGTCGTAGTGGTTCTTGCGGTTGTTCGACGGGTGCTTTTTGGGCGCCGGAGGAAGCGGCATCGGATGCCACGTCGAAGTCTCGTCACCGCGACGCAAGCGCGAGCGGTCAACCTGAGGCAGGCCTTCATCGTCGTCACTATCATCGAAAAGCCCGGATTCATCTTCAGGCGAGGCCTCAAAGGTCGCCCCAAGCGCAGGCTCAGCAGCTATCGCCTCCTCGACAGACAACCCTTCCACATCGAGCATGAAGATCAACTCCTGGAGGCGCGTAGGTGGAGAAAAACCACCAGCCGAAGCAACAACCTCACGCGGCGCTGGCGACGCAGGCGGCAGCGCCGGGGACGCCGAGCCCGAATTTGGAGAGCCAAGACCGGGAGAGCGACTGGTGAGCTCTAATTTTTCCCACACACGCACCATCTCTTCGTCAAGACCGGAGTCAGCATCGCTGTCTTCACCAGCAGCGGCCACAACATCGACAATCTGCGCGAGCGCGGCGGCGCATTCAGAGTCTGCCGGCGCGGCCGACGTGGCGGCGCCAGGCGGAAGCATGGACGGACCATCGAGATTTGCGGTCGCCAGAGGCGACGCAGACGGTGGAGCCTCAACATCATGATCAGCCGTCGCTGGAGGCGAGGCAGAACGCGCGGAAGCAGGAGACTGCATTCCGGCAGCAGTAGAAACCGCTAGCGACACAACCATCAGCCCAAGGAACCAATCCAAGCCTCCAACAACCAGGCCGAGGCGAAGGAGAAGCGAGGTCGGACTAATTCCTCAGGCGACAGCCGGAAGCGTCGCGGTTCTCTGTCTTTTTCGGGAATGACAAGTCGGAAGGGCGCGCAGCCAGAGAAGGGGTGAGTGTATCTGATTGGTAGAAAGGTAAGCCAATAGGAGGTCAGTGTAGGTACGACTCACCGTAGGTATAGTGAAACCAAGTTAAAATAGATATGCAGATGTAGGGCCGCGAAGCTCCTGAACTGCGTGGGTGGCACTCTTAGTTCCGCACGCCCTCCCCCAAGACAGCACTTCTTCCTGTTAAAGCTGCCGTCATCAACCAAAGGAAGACGTACGCCATCGCCAGCAGGACGACCTACAAGACCTCGCTACACCTCACGCACAATACTGGCGTTGCTGCCAGCGTGAGGATTCTCTTCAGAGGGCACGTTCTCCCGGGCTCTCTTTGCAACTACACTCTGGTCGTGTGTCCTCATGGCGTTTTGCTCTTGGACCGTCAATGCGTCCATGCGTTTATTCCGAGTCAAAGTCTCTACAATTAATTGATGAAAGTGGCGAGCTTCAGCTAGACCTTCATCATGCTGCGGCCACGACATGAAACAATTGATTTTTCCTTCTCTCTCGGAATCGTGGGAGCGTGGTTGCAACTATGTGAAGAGGCGAAGAGGAATCAAAGTCGATCGACACGAAGCTGTATATTGGGATACGATCCATAAGACTGCGAAGTGCTGTATCACTTCACGATAAGCTGAAGATGACTTGACTCCCGCTTACTTGGTCTTCATGGCCGTGTTAATCCAAGGAACCGCGGAGGACACGCGCGAGTAAATGGCAGGGGAGCCGTTCACGCCACAGCCGCTGCCGCCGCTCACAAGACCGACCAGAACGTCGTCAGCGTCGCCACGGCCGTTCTCCTTGATGAACGGGCCGCCGGTGTCGCCCTGGCACGGGGACTTGCCCTGGGCACCGCCGGCGCACACCTGCGAGTTATCCACAGTGGACTTGGTGGCCTTGCTGCAGTCCGCGTTGCTCCAAATCTACCCTGCAGCTCCTCGGCGCCCATGCCATTGGGAGGAGGGGCGGTGAGGCCCCAGCCCGTAGCCGTCGCCCACGTGCCGCTGCGAATGTCCGCGCCACCCGGGGCCGGCAGCTTCACGGGCTTGTACTTGCTCGGCTTGGCCAGCGTCAGCACGGAAAAGTCGTTGGCCAGCGTGTCTTGATCTCGTCGCCGTCCTCGCCGCCGTTGATGTAGTGCGCGCCCACCTACACGAAGTTGGCCGAGGCCGTGGTCGTGCACGACGCGGTCGTGAGCACGTGGGTGGGGGAGATCAGCGCGCCGCCGCAGAAGCTGAAGTCGTCGGGGGACTTGGGGTCGACGGTGGAGCGGAGTCCGGTCACGTACGTCTTGGAGCCCTGCGGAATCTTCCAGCCGCCGAGGATGGCCGACACGGAGCCGATGAGGAGGGAGGCGGAGATGAGTGTGGAGACGACCTTCATGAGTGAGTAGCTTTCCTTAGGAGAGGGGGCTGCGGAGCTGGCTGTAGAACCAGGAATGAGGAAGGCGGTGAAAATCGTACACGTAGCGTAACGCTGAAATTGAATCCAACCTGGATTACTTAGGCCAGCTTGAGCCGAAGCGCAGAGGGCTCAAGTGCAAGATCTACTGTCGTCCATTGCCCATAGTCCATAGTCGAGGAATGCCAGCTCGAACCGACACATGATGTTGAGGTGCATTTTATAATAGGTTCCTTTCGCGCGGTCTCTGTTTATGGGATTGATTTGCTCATTTTCTTCACGAACAACAAAATGTTGACCGCACGCTTTAGAGAACCGTTCTCTGCCCTACAAAACATGAGGATCCATCGCAAGATTGGCGTGTCTACATTCGTACGGAGAACTACACCGTAAGCACGCGGCCGTGGAGCAGATGTCGGGTCTGAATTTTCAGACAGCATAGGGGTCCTTCTTAGTCAAATTTGTGGATGCTGTGATAAGGATCCGGGATCTTTTTAATCTGGTTGTGCGAAAATCATACTTATTTTTTAAAAGTTATAATCGAAACCATCACTGCAGTTTGCGATCGCGTTACTTTAGCATTCAAACTAAAGGCTCCACCAGCGAGTTATCTTGCTGCTGGTTTGCAGAATCCATCTACTGTAATATGGTTCACGGCGAGGCTAGAATCATATTAACGTTCGTCTTGTTCTGGGGAAAAGGATTCAAGTCAGCTTTTGGACAGATCAAACTTTACAATGAGTACCTAACTCTTCAAACAGGGACTGGAGCTACAGCTTTGCATCGACTGTCTTACGACCATGAAGGTGGAATTGGGCCAAGAGAGCTCGATTCCGCCCCAAGCGGGCTGGCGCCGGACCAACGAACCGGAGCTGCTAAAGCGGTTCAAACTTTACCAGGAGGCTAATAACTAAGGTTAAATAGACTTCCTTCTCTCTCTCTCTCTCTCTCTCTCTCTAACTCTTCAAACATGTTCGCAGATTTGCTACCCATGCGGTCAACCGTAGATGAGCCTGGTCGCCCTGAAACCGTAAATTCTCCGAATCCGTCTTACATACTTCGTATTATTTCATGTAATAACAGCAAGTACACATATACCATAAGTAGATTGGAGGGGGGGGGGGGCATATCTCTTTTTCCGTAGTGCTTCCAGAATAAGAAAATTTTCTGTAGTACTTCCATGATCAAGAGCTTTTTGTTAGTGTAAGATTGGACAACAACATTATTAGTACAGCCTAGAAAACTTCATTGCGTCGGTTATAGTAGAATACTAAGTAAGTAGATTATATTAGGTCTATATGGTTTAAAAATCCTAACGAAAGTTTCTTTCATGACGTCACCAGCTCCTCAACCGGTACTGTACGGTTGTTGAACGGAACTATGTCGAGCCACTTTTTGTTCCAGTTACCTACAAAAGTCCCGCTAAAGCACACATTCTTTTACACTTCACTTGCATACTTTCGTTTCCAGCATATCTTTGACTAGATTGGTCAAGAAGACGCGTTCGCCAACAACCAGGTGAGCAGCGAGTATGTACTGTAGGTCCCCGCTTTCTTGGCACCCCATAAAACCGTCCAGGTAGTCATGGTTATCTACTTTTCATCGATCCATTTCACATGTGTCGCTCCAATCTGACGGTCATATCCTGCTGTAATACCACATGTGCGCTGGAATGCAGAGAGTTCTCGCTGTTCGCGCTGGTTGTGGGCACAATGGACGACAGCAAATCTTGCACTGTAGCCCCCGTAACCCTCTCCGGGAGCCGGGAGAGTCTCCCGGCTCGCTCAAGCATAAGTAACTGAACGCTACGCTACAGTACAGCAGTGTACCAGCGCTTTGTCATTCTTGGATTTACCGCCGACTGCACACCGCTATCTCAGCCGCTCGCTTCCAGCAAGAATACTCAAATGAAGGTTATCTCGACCCTCGTCTCCGCGTCCCTCCTCATCGGCTCCGTGTCGGCCATTCTCGGCGGCCAGAAGGTCCCGCAGGGCTCCAAGACGTACGTGACCGGACTCCGCTCCACCGTCGACCCCAAGTCCCCCGACGACTTCAGCTTCTGCGGCGGCGCGCTGATCTCCCCCACCCACGTGCTCACGACCGCGTCGTGCACGACCACGGCCTCGGCCAACTTCGTGTCGGTGGGCGCGCACTACATCAACGGCGGCGAGGACGGCGACGAGATCAAGGTCGTCAAGGTACAGAACCACCCGCACTTCAACAAGGACACGCTGGCCAACGACTTTTCCGTGCTGACGCTGGCCAAGCCGAGCAAGTACAAGCCCGTGAAGCTGCCGGCCCCGGGTGGCGCGGACATTCGCAGCGGCACGTGGTCGACGGCCATGGGCTGGGGCCTCACTTCTGCCCCTCCTGACGGCATGGGCGCTGAGGAGCTGCAGGCCCTGAGCCAGCAGGTCATCAGCAACGACGCCTGCCGCAAGGCGCTCAAGGCCAACACCATCGATATGTCGCACGTGTGCGCCGGTGGCGTGAAGGGCAAGTCCCCGTGCCAGGGCGACACCGGCGGCCCGTTCATCAAGGAGAACGGCCGTGGTGACGCCGACGACATTCTGATCGGCCTCGTGAGCGGCGGCAGCTGCGGCGAGACCACCCCTGCCATCTACTCGCGCGTGTCGTCCGCACTGCCGTGGATCAACCAGGCCATGAAGGTCAAGGCCAAGTAAGCAGCGATAGTATACAGTTTTATCATAAACTACTGCACAAGTGATGGTATCTCATTTTTCAAGCTGAACTTCGTTTCTAGATTTGATTTCTCTCCACTAAGTAGCGGTGTCACTTTCTGAGGAGCCAATCAAAAGGCTCTCATTCGCAACAACCACCACTCAGTGCTGTAGGACTGGCATCCCAAGATGCTGAGCCGCTCTGCTGCCGTTGCCCGAGGTTTGCTCGTCCCTCATCACCGACCTTCTACCAGTATCCGTCGGCTCCCCGCCGTGAAGACCTCGGCGCGTGGCTTTTCCAGCTCCCCCGACAGCGAAAACTCGCCCAATCTCGAGCGTGGCTTCGACTTGGCTGCAGGCCTGTGGACTCGCACCTTCGAGCGGCTGCCTCTGCTGGAAGAGTGGCAGGACAAGAATGTCTTCATCGACTCGATGGGCAGGATGGGCCAGTGCCTGCTCTTCCTCCAGTTGCACCTGCCCAAGAGGACGAGTGTGGACCTCTTGGAGTTCATGGAAGGCGCTCGCATCGCCACGGAGGCCAACCTCCGGGCCATGAACAGCGCCGCGTTCCCGGAATTCCTGGCGGGGGAGGAGAGCAGCTCGTCCGACGTGGCCGACAGACTGCAGCAGTACACGACGCCCGCGTACTACAACCAAATGGCGCTGCGGGTCAAGAAGAACTACCTGCACCGCAACTTCTACGTCGAGTGCGAGGGGCTCGTAGTGGAGAAGCCGCAGCTCGCGCAGGTAGTGTACGGGCGTCTGACGGAGAAGCAGTACGAAGACTGGGTGGCATTCAAGAAGCCGCCGACGCAGTCGTCTCTGGACGCTACGATCGAGCACCTACGGCTCCACGTGGACGTTGCCACCGTGGAGGTCTTGGACGTGGTGAACCTTCAAGGCAAGACGAACTGCGTGCAGCACGAGAATGTCTACCGAGTAGTGTTTGAGTCCCGCGTGACCGACCCGGAAGAAGTCGACTGGCGCATTGAGGGCATGCACATCATTGAGCAGAAGGCTGTGCAACGTCCTTAGGTAGCGCAAAGCGTGGAGTAAAGTAGTCTGGTAACATTTTGCAGACACTGTAATGAGTGAACACGTCATAACAGCTTCAACACAACGAAGTAACCAATACAGAAATTCTATTCATATGAAAGTTAACACAGGTGAGCACTGCAGTAGCAAGGCAGCCCTTATTTTCACCGTCGAGGGCCTCTCATACAGCGGCCGGCACTTTAGTCTTCATCACTTGCTTATCCACTGCCAGATCCAGCTTGAACGGTGTCGCCTTGGTAATCCGCCAGTCCACCAAGTTCTCTCGCGACACGTCCGAGTAGAAGCTCCAGTCGAAGGAAGTCTTCAGCGTGTGGCGGGTAGGCTGGTCGTCTCCTTCGCTCCTGAACGCCAGCAAGTGCTCCGTGACCGCAAAGCGCACCGTCATGCTCAGCGCCTCGTTCATGAGGTAGATACTACACGTCTCGTCCTTGTGGTCCACCGCCGCGTCCGCGTACTCGTACTGGGCTTCCGCTAGTCTGGCATCGTTCACCTGCAGCTTCTCCAGCTTGAACGTGGTGCCCACGGGCAATTCCAGAGCTTGTCGCTGCTTGTCCAACTTGGCGCGCCACTCTTCGATACACTGCTGGGTGGCCACCTCGTCCAGCGACATGGATACATCTTCCAGGTTATGAGCCCACTGCTGCGCGTAGATCTGGGGTATCACCACGTTGGCCGCGTGCGTGGCGCCCGTCAGGAAATCTGGAAGCTCGATGGGCCGATCCGGTGGGATCAGACACACCAGGTACATGAAGACCCGGTCGCGCAGCGTGGCGCTGTGCGCGAAGTAGCGGTTGAGCGGGGACGACGCACTGTCCAGCTCCATGATCTGGTTGTACGCCAGGAAGGTGCGCGCCGCCAGGTGCAGCACTTTGGCTCGAGCCATGACGTACTTGGTGACCCTGGGGCTCGTCAGGAACGTCCGGCGCTGCAGTTGGCTAGAGGCGGGAGAGGTAGAACGAGACACTGCAGACAACCTAGCGACAGCCGAGATGTCGCGCGCACTACCCGAGCGACGTAGAGCGGAGAGCAGCATACTACCTTCAGATACTTCTGTTCCGCCGACTTATTGCGAACTGAGCTGAATTCTGAAGAAGCGGTCTACCGTCGGGTAGAACCGGTGCGTAGTCTTAGTGTGCGCGCACACCAAAGTCTCCACCACACGTCTTGCCACAGGGAAGGGCAACATGCGTGCTCTCTCTATTAGCCGTGTAGGCTGTGGTAGAGCGGTTCTACAGCACGGAAGAACCCCTCTACCAAGTAATATCAGAAACAATGACCGACGACACTTCGCGTCGGTGTCAAATGGTGGGGATTCTCCCCCCGAGGGGTTCCAGGAAGTTCTCGCCACGCTCGACAAGGTTCGAGCTCGCAAGGACGTCTTCGAGGCATACAAACAGCAAGACGTGTTCGCTCCGTCGGGGATGAGCTGGCTGGCCAACCGGTTGATGTTCTACCACCTCAACCGACCGCAACGCACACAAGTGGACGCAATCGAGTTCCTGCAAGGCGCCAAGTTCGCGATGGAGACGACGATGATGGCCATGTACTCGCCAGAGTTCGCGGACTACGTGGCGCGTGAGGCGGAGGCGCCCGGCGCGTTGGAGCCCGACTGTGACGTGGCCAAGATGCTGCACCAGTCGCTGGAGACGGTCAGCTACGATGCCTTCAAGCAGTTCGTGTTGCAGTCTGCGAGCGCTGGAGTCCGAGCCGAGATGAAGGAGATCGAGATGCACAGCGCACACCTTATGAGTGTGCAGTACGAACGGAAAGCCAAGAGGTCAACGACGAACGCTAGTGGCGCCAGGGTGCTGGGCGTTCCGGTCCACGAGCGACTCAAGCTGGCGTTGCTGTTTGACATCACGGAGCACGTGAGTTTGAAGCTGCCGGACTCGAACGAAGCCGAAGACGTCGCGGTGCGGCGCAACAAGGCCATCTGGCAGTTTGAGTCCAATGTCAGCACGCCTGAAGATATCGACTGGATCATTGAGCCGCTGCATCTCGTCGCGTAGAGCGCTAATTATTGTACGACTTGGAAATGGGCTTGAAAGCTGCAAGCAGGGGTCAATTATAACGCGTACGCCGCGCTAAGCTTAGTAGAAGTCGTGAGTACGGACGTTGGTTGCTGTGTTAAATTACTAGCGTTTGCGTTTCTGCTCCATTGTTCACTTGAGAGGTTGACCGCCGCTTCCACCAGCCTGAAATTCTCCATCATTGCCCCTTCAACTGGTCGAGCAACAACTTTCACATTTCGATGTTCATTCTCCAGATCAGCGACGTATCCTTCCATTTCTCGGGCTTCGGTCTTCAGGAAACGGACTCGCTTCTGCAAACAAAACACGACATCAGTTACCGGGGCCAGTTTTCCGGCTACAGTATTACCGGCTTCAGTTACCGAGGTGCCGCCTAATTAATCTGTGTTGGGCTGGCCACAGCACTCCCTCCGGGGTTACTGCTATCCTAGAAAACAAATATTTAGACGATTGGATTCTCACCACTAATTGTGGTTGTCTTGGTCGCTCAATAGTGCTCAGCCGTATTTGTTCTAATTTGTCTTCGGTATGTGTGATTTATTTTTCTCTGAGTGCCTGCAAGACCCTGAGCGGAGTATTACAGTACAGCGGGTTTGCAGTGAATTGATGCTCAACCATGTCATGTTTTAGCCCCTCAAAGTCGGTCACGCAGAATTTCTGAGTCGTACGATGCGCTACAACAGCCTGCTCAAACTTTGTCCTTCGGAGGCAGCAAAATGATGTGCAACGACGCAGGTTGCATCGCTCTTATTGACTTCGCAACGAACTTCTAGATGGCTCAAGGGCAATTCTAGCAGTGTTCTCTACCTACTGCCTTTGTCCCAGTTCTTCATGATCCGCCTTCGTGCAGAAATCTGAGGCGATCTCTCAGCTCAGAATCCCTCTTTTTGAAACGTATCCACTATTATAATAATAGTTCGTCCAAAAGCATTCAGGATTAATATTTTTTCATTTATCTTGCATGAAATGAAAGCTGTTAATGCAATCGCTCACCATTTTGCCTTGTTCCATTGTTTGTGGTATCGTTTTCTCTTGTAAACGAGCTGGGCGACTGATATGGTGCACTAAAGAACCGCATCTGTGTTCTGAAAAATAAATATGTTGCTTCCCGGCTTCCATGGTACCTTTTTAGTATCCTGATATTCACTCGTCAGAACACTGGTGATATCTTGAATGATAGAGAGAGAAAATGGAGATTTGACAGCGCCCCTTACAAAAAGAAATCATTATAAATAATAGACAGCGTCATGTTTGTTCTCATTTCGAATCATCTATTGTTCTGAGATGGTCGGGTCTTCGGATGGCGGCGTTTGCGTCTTCCCGTTAGTATCCCGTTAGTTGATTTTTGGAATTTCGGATCTATTGCAGCGATGCCATCAGGCTTCAAACTCAAAACTATCAATCCACAGTGAAATCTACATGTACCACTAGTAAGTCGGCAAGTCGACTGACACCTGTGAGGTAGTTCTGAAAAAGCGATTGATTGTAACTAGAACTCCGTCATTAGACCGATTTTATAATTTTTCAATTCCCCTCGCTAAGTATTTCGGCATTTGCAGGCTATAAGACGTTATTGTTTACTGTTAGACCACGATGACTGCATATATAAAGGGGAATTACGATACGAGCGAGAAAGCGTCCAACCTAAACCATTGCACGCTACTAAAATCAGCATTGCGCATCAAGTTTTAAGTCAAATCATGACTGCAACTGCTCTCCCGTTCACCACGTTGACTGCGTCCAGCTCAGAGAAGTTAGCCACTCCTCTTGAATCTCCACTTGCCTTTACTGTACTGCATACCGCCCTCGATATTGTTCGTGTCAGGAAGAATGACTCGCGCCAGCCAGCTCTTGAATTTCTGCCATGTCGTGTAACCTGACAGTTTTTATTCCCCACGTCTGAAGTAAGCGGTATCGCTACTAAAGTCGAAGGCGGCCGGGCTGCTGTCTTCATTGTTCGCGCCAGCGGGGATTGCTGGCTTCGCTGCTTATAAGAAGGGTGGCTGCAGCCGTGAGGAGGAAGGAGCAGAGTCGCATAGTCTTCTGGCGTCGCTGGTGTCGCAACGCTGGGGAAGTAGGGGCTGGCGAGTGAGTTGGCAAATGAACGGCGGCAGATAAACTACGCCAAGGTATACTCCAGAGGAAGGAGCACAGTTGTAATTTTCTGGATATATTGCTTATCCGCAGTGCGCTGGCGGTCATATTGAAGAGATAATCAAACGCCGAATCCCACAGTACTGTATTGTATTACTAGTTGCAGTCGTAGAGCGCCTCGGAAGTGTGGAGTCATTTACTTCTGTACCTCGTCGTTTTGGGCTTAATGCTGCTGGTGGTCGTGTTTCGATAGCAGCGCTGACCCTCTGTCCTTTTAACTAATTTTTTTATATTTTTCTTCACAGATACGGTACGGTACCAATGGCGGATTCAGTGCAACGATCAACCCGAGCAGAGGTTCGCATTGCCTGTATTGACTGAAACACGCAGCGCCAACTCTACTAAATTCAATGGTTCGTCTTGAATCTCCACTGGCCGTTGTTGTAGATTATCTTGCCCTCGATCTTGCTTGTATCGGGGAGAACGACGGTCAGCACCTTCTTCATGAATTTATTCCACTTGGACGAGTCGACAGGTACTTCGGGGGCTTTGATGGGGGCGCCCAGCTGGTGGAACCGGTAGTTTCCTCTCTCCTCAGAATCGGTGGTGGGCGTGAGGCGGAGGTTGCGCGCTTCGCTGCTGGCATCGTGAGGAGGGCGAGTCCGAGGCGCATGGTACTCTGGTTTTCGCTGCTCGTGGCACTTGGGGGGGGCATCCCTGCTGAAGAGGGAAAATAGAAAGTGAACTCTAATAAGTGAGTGACCATGGAGGAGCCTGCCACTACTACACTACTCAGAGGTCGGAAAACAATATTGCAATACAGTAAATAATTGAGTTTTCCAATAAAAATCTGTATTAAGCGCCCCGGTTTCCAATACAGTATCATATGAGACGGTTTCAAACGAAAAGATGCTTCCGAACCTAAGTACGAATCGCGATTTAACCGCATCAATCGAAAGAGACGTGTCTTGTGCTTCGTTTAAGCTATCGAATGCTTTGAAATGTTGAGAACTCGCGGAGTGACATCGGTCTAGAAAAATTATCTCCATTTTCGGACCCCTAAATTCACGATTTTATTTGGGGCGTGTGACCTCAATATTTTTTCAATTTTAACGTATTGTATATTATCGGAAAGCTCGCGCTAAAAGCAAGTGAATCAGAGTTTTTTTACGCTTTTTACGTGTGCTTTCACTTTCGAAATTTTGATGTCCGGTTATTTCCGAAAATTGATTGGTCAACTTCAAACGCGATCACATATCTCGATAACTCCAAATGGCGCCTAAGCATCATTTCGTTTGAAACCGTCTCATATTGACCCCATTATTGACAATAAATACCGCTTTCATAGAATTTTTGACTGAAGATGCCAAATTCTAGCTGCTAAGGGCATGGATTTGCTCAACGCCACATCCAAGCAAGTATTCCATACCCTAATGACTATTATATAGGTATGCATTAGCATATATAATATATATGGGCATATTATGTGCGTTTTACCATTGCTGAAGCTCGCCGGTAGAAAACAGCTTTGAGCGACCGATAAGACACCGACCGCTATCATAATACTGTGAGCATACAACATGTAACTACGCGTAGATTAAGCCTCAGGTAGCCTTCACAGTGAAAGCTTCACTACTAAAATTTTGAATATCAATGCAAATTATGATACTGAACTGCAGCTGCTGACCCCTCTAAATCGATAAAACAGTATGTTTTATGCGCCAATACAATATAAATTACGGCAATATTTATTTTTATTTGTCAGAGAATTGTAATATTTATTAGGGCTTCGCAATGATCCCAATACAATATAATACGGTATTGGCGGACCTCTGTCTGCTAACTAACTATCTTCGTGGACAATACTAACCGCAATCTGCGCATAATCAACCAGATTTTTTACAATCGCATACTGCAATGTGCTGTACATGTTTTTTTTTGGCACGAAGGAGCAAGTCAACGCTTCGAAGTCGATCGACTAGGTGAATATCGCGTGAAACTGATAAAAAAAAATACCGGTCCGTTAGATGACCAAGTGACTGTCGAAGTTGCGGACTGGCATTAAAAGTACAAATTTTGTACTGCGGCTCATGGAATCGGCTCTTGCTACTGACACCAAAAAAAAAAACACCCAACAAAAAAACACTGGGGGCCTTCCCGGTCATGCACAGCCGGGTGGGGATGGATGTCACGGCCCTCAAATCGTGAAAACCCCAAAGTGCTCCAGAGAAATGAATGCCTTGAATCCCACACGAAATCAATGAATCTGGGGTTGGTCTCAATGGAAAGAGGGAGGAATAGCCTAGACTAGGCCTGGGCCCAAAGCTCACTGCTCCCGGCCATGCCCTCGCTTCACAGGCACCAAAGTTGCAGTTCTAGGGGATCTGGTTTCACCTCCCCTCTACCGTCTCTACGCCCGGCCTCGGCTATACGAAATCATGCCAGGACACACTTAGTTACACCGGAAAACACACTTAGAGTCTACACTTTTCCGGTGTCAGCAGAACTTTTCCACGGAATCGCTCCACCATGCTTCAATCTGGGGTTCCATCTGAAGATACAGCTAGGATAGGCAGTCATAAGTACCTCGTGCTTACGCTCTTAAAAAACCCTCTCCTTCATCGTAAACGAGCTGTTTCGCCTACGGTTGTCTTCGAGAGTCTCACTCAGAGCCTACAGTACTATTGATAGTGATGAACAACAGCTTACCACGACATACCATTTCGTTGTACTTCTTTCCTTGTAGCCTAGTAAATCGTGCATGGAGTGGATGGAGTGAATTATCGAGTATGGGCGTGCTTTGTTGGGCCAACTCCACTAAATTCAAGAGCTCTCCGCTGCCTATGGGGCGCACCATCTTGGCTTCAAGTTTGCTCGTCTCAGTGGTGAACGGCCGCCAACACCTTCTTCATCATGGTACTCCACGTCGAAGCTTTGACAGGCACGTTGAGTTTGGCGAGGTTCTCGCTGAGAGAATTGATGCGGTAGTTGGGGGCCAGGCGGAGGTTTCTCGCGTCGCTGCTTGAGAAAAGAGCGGCAACAATCGGTTGGGGTACCTCTCCCTCTTTCATGACGTCTGTTGCCAAGGACACAAACCAAGTTATTATCACCGACGTAGGTACCGCAGTAACGCTGCAGCTCTGAGGTCTAAGTGTCTCCCCTCCTACGCATACGAAGTCTTTTCGCACGTAGTCGCAGTATCTGCTCAAATATATTTTTATAGATAATTATTACGTATACACGTTGGTGCCATTACGTGGCTGTAAAGAAAACAGAAGTGCACTCTCATTGAGAAAACCATAGCTCGATAAGAGAGCAAGTCTACGTATACTTAATTCGGTTGTTCAGCGCCATCGACCCCTCGACGCGAAACGTGAAAACAACTGAGACTCGATTAAGTACTGACGATCGATTGGGGTCTGATGACCAGCGAAGTGCTATTAAGGCTGTCAGAAGTATTCAATAGGCAACAGCCACGGAAAAAGGAGAGGAAAACTAGCTTATGGTGCTCTTTAATATCGTAAGAGAAGGTAGGGGCAGTTTTTCTTCCTGAACAATATTGACAATAAATAGTGGATATTGATGACATCGCTACAATACAATATTGATGCCCAACAATATTACAATTTTACAATATCCATTTTTATTTCCGATCCCTGCAACAATCGTGAGGAGCGCGAGGCCGAGGCGCATGGCTAGTGTAAAATTTGCTGATGGTTCGATGCTTGCTACTGAAGAGTAATTTGCGGAATGAACCCGTTGGTTGACGAAAGAATAGCTCGGTTGCAACCGTGGCTCGGTCCTATATAACTAACGATCTTCTTACTCCATTCAACCGCAATCTGCGCCTAATCAAGCTTTCCCGAAACCAAGCGCCTTCTTGTATTACTACACATATTTTTATTACTTGTACATCTCACGACATGCCCACACAGTCTGGGATGCCATCCCAAGTTACCAACATGATCGGCAAGCACAGATACTACAACCTCTGTACCTCTGGCTTATGCACTCAACAGCTCCCCAACTTCGTCGTAAGCGAAATGGCCGTGGTCGCAAGTCCTGCTAACTGTATAACAGCCACAATCGCAGCTCGTTTTCTGTGACTTTTTTTTCAGTGCATCCACTACATCATTGTCACTCTGCATTATTGTACGTGACTAGCATCTAATGTGAATTAACACTTTAAAGAATAAAGGAATGGGGCAAGCTGTGGTTGTGTTCGTAAATACAACCATGTTAGCAATATCATCGAGTTCCAAGTCGTAACTTACCCTAAGGAGGCTAACCAAGTATTCCAAAAACGCCTCTCAGGAGTGCAAAGGTGCGTAAATCAAAGTTCCACAACATCTCGATGCAGAAGCACATCAAAATCGAGATAGTCGAATCCGTAGTCACCCCGTGCGTTGCCTTTTCTTCTCCAGTCGACGCTCCTTAGTTTCGTTCCGTTTCTCGAGCCGTCGTTCTCGAGTCGTCTTACCGTCGACGATCTCAAACTGCTGCAACCAGCGCGAAGTTCGAGGTGGCACTTCTGGAAGTGGCTGGGTTGTGCTATTTGCTTCAGCACTGACTGCCCCGTTGGCTTGCGCTGTTGTTGGTGTGACCGCAGGCACGTGCTGCTCCAAGAGCTGTCGGGGTGAATTCCTGCTCCTCCTGCAGGCCATGACAGGTCGTAAGTAATACCTAACTCCCGGATTGGCATGCGATTGTACACTTGGAACTGCAACTGCTCCAGGCATTCCGTGTCCGAAGAGTGCTCGAGGCGCACCAATGACCTTCCTGGCCATCATAAGCCGCGGTGTGTAGGTCGCGCGTGGAAGATATTGCGTTTGTTCACTGTATCTCTCGCTTGACGGCTTGCGGCGGCTTGATTCGTTCTCGTTGTCTCTCAACCTGTTTTGCTAGGGATACATTTTCTTTCTTCTTCAGCAGTTGCCGTGCCATCGTGGGGTTTTCAACTTTGAAGGCTTCAACAAACTCGTCGCTTACAGCGAGCATTTCGTAGATAGTAGACCCGCCAGCCTTACAGCAAGTCAGGCAGATCGGCACCACTCGGGTCATTTTCCTGCTCTTAGCTGTTAACGCAGCCGACGGGTACGTGATACGACAGCATGCGCACTGCCGTGACGGCGGCGGGTTCTTCCCTCCGTGCTCACGGGCCGCGTCTTGCATCATCTGGACCCTCTTCGCCAACGGTATCAACTCTCCGTGGCAGCACTTGCACTCCCTCTCCTCCACCAATTCACCGTCTTCGTCGTCCTCCACTTCGATAATCTCGACCGATTGCTTGGCCGCGGGCACCTTGTTTTCAACCAGAGTACTTGCAGCAGCAGCAGCAGAAGTCGCGGTCTTTGTCTCCAAACTTGCTGCTACTGACTCGCACATCGTGCATACCGCTGGATTTGTCGTCGATAGAGCGGCTATCGGGTAAGTAATCCGACAACATGAGCACTGCCTAGACGTTGGAGGCCCCCTCCCCTTGTGCAGCAGAACCGCCTCCTTCATCTTCTTCACTCTCTGCTCCAACGGCACTAGCTTCCCCTTGCAGCGCCTGCAGCACTCCTCTCCCTCGTCTCTGCCCCTATCTCCACTTGTAGTCTCAACGGTCTTCACAGCTCCATTCACCTCCCTCTTGACGCCACTCACACCAACTCCCGCCGCCTTCTTCGCCGCTCGAGCCGCCCAGTAGCACATGTAGCAACGCGGCTCCGGCCACGACCGACGTCTGCTCTCGTCCGTCAGAGCCACAAGTGGATAGGTAATGCGGCAGCAGCCACACTGTCTGGACGGCGGAGGGTTCTTGCCACTGCACTGAGCAGCAGCTAGGCGCATCGCCTTGAGCCTCTCGGCCAGCGGCGTCAAGTATCCGCGACAGGTCCGGCAGTGCTCCTCTTCCGGCTTAACTCCGCCATTTCTGGTCGTATTGAGGTCGCCAATTGATCGATCTGTAGCGTTTTCCTCTGTCTTTATTGCTGGTGTTGCATTAGTCTGCTGCGTCCTCTTGTTCTCTTGATGTACGGCTTTTACTGTTCTTGGGACGTGTTGCGCTTTTGGCTGGTTCTTGTCAACGGCGGTGCGTCTGACGGCCGCGGAGACGGCGATGTAAAGCTCGTTGTACTGGCTTTCGTCCAGACCCTCCAGGTCCTCGCTCTCCGTCGAGAAGCCGTCGTCGTAGGGCGCGAGAGGCGGCGCATCGATCGCCAGCGACGTCTTCCGTTGCACGGATTTGGCGCAGTGTGATTGGATAGAAAGAGGCATGGCTACATTTTCGACGAAAAGGAATTTTTGTGGCTTTTAGTTGAGGTAAAGTTTCGGAAAAGTAACAGTATATCGCCGTAATTTATCGCAGCGGCTCGAACTTCCACTTGTCGTTGCCCTTGTAGACCCACGAGCCCTCTCTTGGCTTGGGGAGCAAGACCTTGGCCAAAATGTCACGAAACTTTTCCCACTTGAGGACGTGACTGGAACTTGGGCTGAGGCCGGTTTGCGGATGGTGAAGTCCTCTTCCGTCCTGTCGGCTACTGCGGTGAATACCTACGAGTACCGCAATTCGCATGTAGAGCTGCACTGTATGTTCACCCCGGTAATGTTGATCTGTATTCGTACTTAAAATTATCATATACAAAATTCAACATGTTGTATAAGTCACAACTGTAATATTGTGGTTATATCTTATTTGCCGGGTATAATAATTGGTCTGATTGGATAAAAATATGTAGATCGCTTCATATGATTGGTCGATGTAGGTGCATCTCATAAGCGGGTGCAGCTCTCAACATGCGAAATGCGGTAGACGGGAAATCATTGTTGACGAGCTTCGTTTCTGGGTGTGGCGAAGGGAGGGGTAGTTCGGAAATGAGCTAACTAGTGCAAGGGGCGAGGGCGATCAGAGCAGATTCAGGTTGGTAAGTTAGCTATGGCAAAAGAGCTTGTTGAAGTTGCCGGTTGCTCGTAAAGCATGGACGCCGCGGGCGCTGACGTGCATGTAGTATAGGACTAAACGTGCCGTAGAGGTGAGTAAGGTAATGAATGACATGAAGCGCAGTCAGTAGTTACAAGCGATAGGTAGACATTCCCTCACATCTTTTATTGGAGCGGCTCGAACTTCCACTTCTTGTTGCCCTTGTAGATCCACGTGCCATCCCTAGCCTTGGGGAGCAGGATCTTGGCCAGCACGCCGCGAAATTTATCCCACTTGGAAGGCTTGAACGAAACTAAGGCCGGTCCATTCGGGTTGCGGCGGATGTTGAAGACCCTCTCCTCGGCGTTGTTCGCAGCAGCTTCGAACTTAGCGGCGGGTGGATCTGCGCGGAGGTTTCTCGCCTCGGAGCTTGCAAGGAAAACCATGGTTACGGTCAATAGGATAAGACGGGACAGCATTCTAAGTAAGCTGCTGCCTTCAGGATTGGGGGGGGGGGGCTGGTGGTCGGCGGGCGAACTTGGGAACTGAACGCAGCGGAATGAGCTGGCCAAAGGGTGCCGAGCCCCGCTTACCACTCATGGATGAGGGACAACGTAATTTGGTCTACACCGTAATCGCCGATTTGACGCAGTTTTGACTTTACGTTGGTCGGTTCTTGAAAACCTGCTGAGCAGAGGAATTCGGGTCGCAGACTGCGGTGCGGCAAGACCCACGCTCCACCTCGTAGCCTCTAGAGTTTGCACAGCACGTAGGTCGGTGAGCCTGGAGGATATACGCCCTAAGTTACAAAAAGGGGAGCTTAGGAAAGATATACCGGTCTACTTCTACTTTTGCATGCAAAAAGTGTCGAACGAATGCCAGGAAAAAATCACACGTATCTAGTCAATGCGGTGGGGCGATACTGATAGGCTCGCTGCATTGAAGTGCGTTTTATCTGCATGTCTATCATGGCAGACTTTGCCATCGCGCCGAGCTGGAGCAACGCCAGCCTCTCATCGCCGACTCGCGTGTTAAACGCGCGCAGCACCTGTTCGGAAATGCTGACGTACCCATCAGGTGCCGCCGCGAGCACAAAGGGCGAGATGGCAACAGCAACTTTTTCTCGCTCAATCAGTCCAGCAATCCGTGCGCAGCTTGAACATCTTTAGCTACTAGAGGCTCCTTCAATACCCCCAGTCAGTTGAAAGTCGAGTATTTTATCACCCGACGCGAGGGTGTTGACTGGGGTTCATCAGTAAACCGCAACGATTCTCACCGGTCGAGACACGCGGTGTTGGTCAAATCGGGTGGCGCCTAACGCCGCGCGTGTCTAGTAGATCGCTTCTCGAGCTTGGCAAACACGGCGGCATTCGGCTGGATTTCTCGCTCGAGCGATGTGAGGCTGCCAGCGTCGAGTCTCCAGCTCAGCGCCCGGAGTCTGCGCGAGACTGCCATTCTGCTTTTTGCCACGCATCCCCCAGATCTCCAAGCAAAGCGCCTCCATGACTACAGCCCTCATCTCTCCGAGACGCATTCTCGTCCGCGCGCTCCAGATCGTGTGCCCGATCATCGCGATGATCTTCCTGTCGCTCGGATCGATCGAGTTCTCGTCGGGCCAACTCAGCAGCGGGTCGGCCATCTTCTCCAACATCGCGTGCTACTCGGCTGCGGTGTGCGGCTTCTACTACGTCGTGGCTCTGGGAGTGTTCAAGCTCACGTCGAGCGTGCCCAAGGTGCTGTACCAGCGCCTCGTGGACGCTGTGTTGGCCATCGCACTGCTGGTCGCGGGTATCGTGCACTCGACCTCGACGCTCGTCAAGGACTGCTCGTCGTATAACACCATGTTCGAGACCTACCACGGCTCCGCGCTGTTCCGCTGTGGTGACATCACCGTGTCCATCGTGCTCACGTTCGTCACCTGCGCTTTGTTCCTGGTGACGTTGGTCTGGAGCTTCGCCCGTGACAGCTGCAAGTCGGTCAAGGGCGACAACCCGGAGACGGCTCTGGCCCAAGAGGAGGCGAACGCGGCCATCAACGGCTACGAAGGAGCAGTGACCCCGGGCAAGAAGGCGCTCGGTGATGAGGTTTCGGAGCAGGTGGACCTGCAGCACCCGGTGCTCAAGCTCACGCGCCGCTGCGTGCTATTGCTGCAGTTCGCGTGCTGCTTGGTGGCCTTCATCCTCTTCGTGGCGAGCTACAAGCCGTACTACTCGGGCCAGTACGTGAGCCCCGCCGCCACGTACGTCATCCTGATGAGCTACAGCGGCTGGCTGTACGCCCTGTGGCACACGGTGGCCGTGGAGACGTTGAAGCTGTCTCGCCGTCCGAAGGTGGGCGTCGAGCGTCTGATGGATCTGCTGGTGGCAGTTCTGCTGCTCGTGGCTGGGATCATCTTTGCGGTCTCGTCACAGGTGACGGACTGCGACGACACGAACGCGATGCTGGAGACGTACCACCTCGGCACCAAGCTCTACCGATGCGGCAGCATGGACGGCGGCTACATCTTTGCCTTCGTGGCGGTGGCCCTATATGTGATCACGTTCGCTCTGAGCTTCCTGTACCGCTCGGCTCCTAGCAACTCGACGAATGAGACGACGGAGGTGGATCAGCAAGTGTAAGTAGGGTGGGTGAGTGTATTGTCCTTGAGCAGACAGCACGGTAGTGAAGAGGTTTCACTTAAGATACCAGATACGTTCGAGCATTGATGTGAATAACATGATGATTCCCTTCTATTAGGCTTGTAAAGATGAGCAACATCCTCAAGAATTGAAGGTTTTGGAGCTCTACGTTGCAGTTGCGTGAATTGAAGAGCATACCGAATTCTTCGTGGATCTACTCAGCTAGTGCCAGTTTTTCCAATACGACTCGTATCGAGTTTTGCCATTCCCCACGTAGACACGTCGACCATTAAACTTGTTGACGTCAGGGATGATCTTGGACAGCACCTTGAGGATTTTCTCCTTTGTCGTGAGCTTGGGCTCGGCGACGGCGGCGATATGCCACTTCCTTTCCTCCTCGTCGGCGTTGCTGGCCAGAGTCGTGCCCAGTGTGTTGTCGGAGCCCCGGCGAATAGAAGTTGCGTGGCCACTGGCAAGAAGAACGGCTGCAACAATTGTCAGGACGAAGCCGAGACGCATACTGCTTATCTTGGCGGTCGAGAGGTTTTGCTTGGGAGAGCAGATTGGAAACTGAATCCTGGAAACCTCTTCGAGTTTTGCTCGTCCACCAATATCGCTAATACGTGCATATCCGGAGGTGACGCAAAGCCAGCATCACCTCAGCAAAGATGACCTAAAACCGAACACCAGTTCATCAAAGAAATCCCGAGTACACCAATACCTTGAAGTAGCGTGGTGTCCCGCGTGGTTTTCAGGAATTTGACCGTCTTTCATCAGTGCGCATGCTATGGGGGCTTTGGACGACTGGCGAGTCCAGCAAAGCAGCATCCCATCGTGAATTACCAGGGGCTGCAATACTCTCGTGAATGAAGTGGCAGAGGAATTCGCCAGGTATATTGTTCGACGGCATTGGTCTAAGCTCGCAAAATCATCCGCTGCATATTAAAATTGAGCTTAGCTGTTGCCCGCCAAGATATCACCACGTCCACCGCCACTCAGGCGGATCTCTCCTCGCTATTTCTTCTTCTTGCTCTCTTGTTGCTTGCTGCGGATGCTAGCGAGTCGCTTTTTCTTCTCTTCTTCGCGGTGAGCCAGCCGACGCGCGCGAGCCGTCTTGCCGCCCACGACTTCAAACTGCTCTTCATACCGCTGTGTTTCGTGGTCTTGCGCTCCCAGTGCGGCAGGTCGGCGCGCTTCTTCTTGTTCTCCTCCTTCCTCTTCTCCAACTCGGCAGCAAAGGCCTCGGCGTACTCCGGACTCTTCATGAGCTGCTTCCACACCCTCGGGGTGGCTTGAGCGCACGACTTGCATCTAGGGATCGCACGCGTGGGGGACTGATTGTTCTTGCCAAACTTCTTAAGAGGGAGGTACTCCTCGCAGCAGGCGCAGCGTTTCGTTTTGAGCGTGCCGCGCTGCACGTCCGCCTGCTCCAGCTCGCTGACAGTCGGCAGCTTTCTGCGGCACCGTCTGCACTTGCCGTCGGCCGGCTTTGCTTCGGTCTCCAAAGGTGCAGTGGCATCTTCCACCTTGATGGCGGCACCTTCGAGCTTGACTGTGGCATTTTCCAACTTGACTGGGGCGTCTTCCAGCTTGGTTGTGGTGTGACTGGAATTGGTACAGTCGACACTTTCGACAGCCTCGAGTTTCACGTTAACCGTCAAATTGGGCACTACGTTGTGGTCATTCTCATCATTTTGAGTCTCTCTCGCCAGCTCGAGTAGCTCCTCGTCGTAGCACTCGCTCTCGGTGGATGAACCGTCGTCATACGGCGGTGCAACAGAACTCGAGTCCATTTTGCTGGTTAGCGGAGACCGTGGAATAAGCAGGTTTGATGGGTCAGAATTGTTTTGGCAAAAGTTTTTAGGATGTGAAAACCTGAAAACCTGAGTAGTACTTGTTGGGCTTTGGCGCGAATGGGAATCCTGATGAAAGCATTCATTCATCGTTCAAGTCTTACACTAGTTTGTCTACAGTAGACGAACCACTGCAACCTATGCCGACATGAAAGCCTGGTATGACACCAATGGGGGACTGAAGCCTGTTCAGCTTGACAAGACATACTCACTTACTTACACCTGCTGACCGACGTCCGAGGCGTGGGCCGTCTCGGCGGAGTGGTTGCTCTCCCCGTTGCGCTCGCTCGAGGTCGAGCGGTAGAGGAAGCTCAGCGCGAAGGTCACGACGTACATAGCCACGGCGATGAAGGTGAAGACGTAGCCCGTGTTCATGCTGCCGCAGCGGAACAGAGTGGAGCCGTGGTAGGCCGTGAACTCCGAGTTGGTGGTCGAGCAGTCCGAAACTTGGGCCGACGTGGCGAAGAGGATGCCGGCGACCAATAGCGCCACAGCGATGAGGACGTCCATGAAGCGCTCGACGCCCACCGTCGGGTGGCGCGACAGCTTGAGCGTCTCCACCGCCACCATGTGCCACAGCGAGTACAGGACGCCAGAGTACGCCATGAGGATGGCGTACGTGGCCTTGGGCTCGACGTACTGGCCCGTGTAGTAGTGCTTGTAGCCCAGCACGATGCACACCAGCGCCACGACGGAGCAAGCGAACTGCAGCGTGCGGCCAGTGCAGCGCACGATCTTCAGTCCCGGGTGCTGCAGGTCAAGGTCCACGGTAGCAGACGCACTTGACAGTCCGTCCTTCTTGCCGGGAGTGCTGGCCACCGCGTAGCCATTGGCCTGCGAGTCGTCATCGGCCAGAGCAGCCTGCAGGTTGTCACCGTTCACCGACTTGCACGTGTCACGCACAAAGCTCCAGACCAGCGTCACCAGGAACAGCGCGCAGGTCACGAACGTCAACACAATGGCGACGGTCATGTCCCCGCAGCGGAAGAGCGCCGAGCCGTGGTAGGTCTCGAACATGGTGTTGTACGACGAGCATTCTTTGACCGCCTCCGAGGTGGCGTGCAGGATGCCGGCGATCAGCAGCGCGATGGCCAGCACAGCGTCCACAAGGCGCTGGTACAACACCTTCGGCACACTCGAGGTGAGCTTGAGCACACCGACGGGCAAGACGTAGTAGAGTCCGCAGAGCATGGCCGAGTAGCACGCGATGGTGGTGTAGATGGCCGAGCCGCTGCTCAACTGGCCCGACGTGAACTTGATGTAGCCCAGCGACGTGAAGATCATGGCGAGCACGGAGCACAGCGCCTGAAGGGCGCGGACCCCGAGGCGGCCCGACGATAGCAGGGTGGCGGCCATTGCTGGTGCTTCAGTTCGTGAGCTCACTGGAGGAGTGTGGAGTGTGAACGGCGCAAAGCAAATTGCAGAATGAGACCAGGACTGCAGCCAGCTCCATCGGCGTGAGCTGGTTGTCGGGAGCTCGCCGCATTTCAATTGCGGCGGCTGCGACACCACCCGCGGCATCGAAGCGATGAGCTCTCCTATTGTTCTTGCGGTGTGCCATCACGCGTGTCCTCGGACGCAGCGATTTGCTCCAAGCCTCGTGCCTTGCTCAACGAACCAATCGACTAGCAGGTCGTCTCCGCTGGCCGTTCATCACTACACCCCAGCATACACTTGTACTCGACATGGAATCCCACGGTGGTCTCGCTGCACGACAATGGTTGGTCCCTGACACGAGTCCTGGCACGCGTTGCTCAGCAGACCGGGCTGGCGGGTGATCGATGGTGTTCCCTTGAACGCAGGAGTTGGAGGTTGATATAATGTAACGTGAATCACGATTCGTGATGAGCTCTTGCCGGCAGTCTCACTGCTCTTTCGTCGACAGGTACACCTCGTACAAGTGTAGGTGTAGCAATATATGTAACGAAAAGCCTGATGGCGAAATGCGTGGGATCACTTTACTCTCCGCCGATGCGATTGGCACGAGGCGCGTGGAAGACAACAAGCCCGCATGGGTTAGAGATGCGCCTATTATCATGAAGATGCAGACGAAAGGCACTGAATGGGAGGTCGAAGGCAAGCAACACCGCAACTCCAAGTGACATCGTGGCATCAATATAGCACCTGAAATTGGTGGTCGTCCGGCATGCACAAGTTGCTGTTTGATTGAAAGAGTGTAATCATAGTTCAGTATGTATTACTCTCCCACCTCAAACTCCTTTTCAAGCTTTCAAAGCTGGCCGAGTAATTTGAGCAATTATGGATAACATTCCCCCAGTGGTTCACCACAGACGGAAGCTCGAACCGCCTACACAAACAGATCGCTCGGGTAGGTGCTATGACCTTTGTATCTTTCTTCTTACCCTCATAAGTTCAAACAGAGATCGTTTCGTAGCTCTGACCTCCATTCAGGAAAACTTCGGCATTAGGAATACATTTACTATGCGTTTGCTCGCGTTTTAACAAGCCCATGGCAGGTAGTCGAGAGCCAAACTTCGGCTTGACCGGAGATTGTAGTAATTACATCGGCTTAGAAGGAATTTGTTACACCAGCGCCATTACTATCTCTAGTTGGCAGGGACCAACCAAGAGAACGCGGTCGGTACAATATGAATTAGCTAGCACACTAGGATGTCATATCAACGAAATCAAGTACACGCAGTGGTGGGTCCGTAAACGACAAATCTTTTTTTGTTTGGTTTTGCTAAATCAAGTTGAAGTTGTTATCCGAGTAGATGGGAAGTTGAAGTCCTCTCACTACTCAGGTCTCCTTGCCATTTACACCTGCTGGCCAGGCTCGGCGTCCACGTGACGCGGGGCGGGCTCGCTGTCGCTCGAGCCGCAGAAGCTGAGCGCCAAGGTCACCAGGAAGAAGACGCAGTCGATGAATGCCAGCACGTACGCGCGCGTGAGGCTGCCACAGCGGTAGATGTTGGAGCCGTCCAGCGAGCCCGAGTCCGCCTCGTACTTGGCGTTGATCGTGTCGCAGTCCGAGACCTGGTGTGAGGCCGCGAGGAGGATGGCGAAGAGCAGGAGCAGGACGGCGAGCAGCAGGTCCAGGAAGCGCTCGATGCCGGCGCTCGGGCGGTGCGACTTCTTGAGGATGTCGACCACCACGAGGTGGAAGAGCGTGTACAGGATGCAGCTCCACGACACAAGCACCATGAACATGGCCACGGGGCTCGTGAAGCGGCCGGTGAAGTAGTGCTTGTAGCCAGCCACAGTGCTGATAAAGGTGAGGAGCGACAGCACGAACTGGACGAAGCGACCGCCGCGACGGGCGATAGCGAGCGTCGGGTGGCGCGAGTCCGCGGCGGTGTAGGCCTCGGCACGCGAAGCACCGGGCGTCGTGGCCTCCGTGTACCCAGCAGCGACGGCGGCCTCGGCCTGGCTGGTGCTGGCGTTGTCGCTCACGAAGCTCCAGATGAGCGTCACGACGAACAGCGCGAAGGTGACGAACGTGAAGATGACGCCCATGGTCAGGTTGCCGCAGCGGAAGAGCTGCAGGCCAGCGTAGGCCTCGTACTCGTCGTTCTTCTCGGAGCAGTCCTTCACGCCCGAGGAGGCCCAGAGGAGGATGCCACCAAGAAGCAGAAGCACGGCGAGCACGCCGTCCACCAGGCGCTGGAAGTTCACAGATGGGGCCACAGCCGTCCACTTGAGGACCTTCACGGGCAGCACGTAGTACAGACCCGTCAGGAACGCCGAGTAGTTCATGAGGATGCTGAACTCCGGGGACAAGCCGCTGAGCTGACCGTCGTCGTTCTTCACGTAGCCGCCCCACGTGAAGATGAGCGCGAGCAGAGCGAAGAGCGTCTGGAGCGAGCGCACGGCCAGACGGGTAGTGGAGATCGCCATGGTCTTCTGCCTTGGCTTGGGTTGGCTGAACGGAGAGGTTGTTGCTGTGAGTGAACAAGTGCGCGATGCAAAGCAAATTGCAGAATAAGTGCCAAGTCGGCGGCGATCTCGACGTCCTCGAGCGCGCTGCGGAATCTTGGGCTGAATGGGCGTCGCATGATCAAAAGCTCGCGTAAGTCTTCTGCCCGGCATATCGGCTGCAGCTGAGTCTATCCAAATGTGTATATCGCTGGCACATGTGTAGACGAGTGCAGGATACACCGGCAGCAGATGGACGGCAAACACGGATACATATCCGCGAATATCGCAGAGCTTCAGGCTCGTGGAGCATTGCACCGCTCCACGGTGCTCCGGCGGTGCCAGCTGCCAGCTGCAGAGGCGCCTCCAGCCCGACGGAACGACGGTGAATCCTCATGCAGAGGCTCGTGCAGCCGCGGGGGATCCGTGTGATTCGCGACAGTCGGGTTCACGCGGATACACGATGGAGCATGTATCCTTGAGGCGATCCTGCTGTCCAGCACCAGTCTCCTTTGCAACTGAAATGCAGGGGCATCGCTACATGTAGCCGGCCTTGGCAAAAGCCTCAAGCCAGCACGCACTGTAATAGACTTCGAGTGCTATGTCAAGCTGTGGTGCCGGTGCCAGGATATACTACGCACAGGCGAGATAACACCGTCATAATAAGTCGGTGCCGGCGCAGCGGCACCGCTGGTGCAGGTTGGAACGACCGTCGAGTGAAGCCGCTCGCGTCCCCATGTCACAGAGATAGAGACCGGGGCAATAAGTCGGCATTTCGCCATTTGGACGTCGTACGCGAGCTTCAACGTGGGCGACACTGCGGCACAAGCGTTGCCCGGCGAAGTTCGAGCTGGCGGTGACAACCTGTTGTCCTTGGGATCGTCGCTATCGAGCTTTACCCGACAGTGCAGCAGTCGCAGCACAACGCAGCTGCATGCTGCTAGCATTACCCCTGTCTAGCGTGTAGATGCTGCTTCTCCGTCGTGATGTCATCAGCCTTACCAAGTAGAGGGCGTTTATCTTGGCGCGTACCCTATGCGCAGCAGCTCCTTGACAGACGAACAAGCTGCGCAGCACAGTCGATCCGCTTAAGCCGAAAAGAGCTCTCTCTTCAATGGAACACTTCAACTTTCACTTCAACCCCGGGATGGGTACAGTTGATGTGTCGTACATATCTCATGTAGTGCACACCACTTTCTCCCCATACAATGAGAACAAAGTCCCAACCCCAAGCAGACAGCAAACAGCAGAGCTGGCAGGCGAGAGCATGGAGGGCGACTACTCGCACTGCGACCTGTCGGACCCGGACTTCGAGGGCGAGTTGACCAAGCGCAGCGTGTGGCTCAAGGAGTGGCGCAAGCGCTACTTCGTGCTCAAGGGCAACAAGCTCTACTTCTGCCGCGCGCAGGGCGAGCCGGCGCACGGGCTCATCGACCTGGCGGACTGCCTGACCGTCAAGTCGGCGGAGGAGAAGACCAACAAGCGCTTCTGCTTCGAGGTGGCCACGCCCGACTCGACCTTCTACATGTACGCGGAGAACGAGAAGCAGAAGGACGAGTGGATCGGCGCCATCGGCCGCGCCATCGTCAAGTTCTCCAGCTCCTTCACGGGCGACCAGGACGACGACGCCAACTGATTACGTTAAGCTTAGCAGCCACTCGATGCAGGGGGTGGGCGGATACTTCAGTACAGGAAGAGAGAGAGAGAGGACTGGGCGTGTTGCATGTAAAGAAACTATTGACTCGAATGTCTTGCTCTTCTGCGGTACTGTTGTGTGCCAGACAACTCGGCGACGGAGGATACACGTCTGAACCCCCTGGCTTCAAGCGCTGAAGGTAGATGGATACCTGTGCGTTGCACAGATCGAGGTGTCGGGCAAAGACAGAGCCTAGATACATTGCCCGTGAGATGGGGGCCTATGGTTTTGCTGTTTGTTTTGCTGAAGCATGTCAATAATGGAAACCTTTCGTTGGATGAAGGTGACGGGAATTTATTTACAAGTTACTACGTGCAGGGGCAAAAAAAGAAATACTACGTGGTGGAGGGGGAACTTTGGGCGCCACTTGCTGCTTCATGCGCAGTGCTTGCCGACTATTTGGCGTCGTCGTGGGGGGGGGCTGGCTGACCTACTTTTCGGAGAGCACCTTGAAGAGGCTGGGCACGACCTCCATGCGCCAGGGGCCGTTCTCCAGCACTTCGCCGTCGATGTTCATGCAGTCCTCGTGCTGGTCGGGCTCGACCTCCACGGCCTTGACCTTGAGGTACGAGATGAGCTCGCTCTGCAGCTCCTTGCCCATGACGTACAGTCCGAAGAGCTTGGCCGTGGCCAGAAGACTGCCCTTGCGCGTGATGATGAGGTCCAGGTTGCCGTCCGACGGGTGTGAGTAGGCGCCATCGGGCGTGATGTTGACGACGCCCACCACGACGTAGCTGCTGCTGTCCTCTTTCCACACGAATTCTGGATACCGCTTGCGACTCGCTGGACTCTGAATGCTGCCGGCAATGCCGCCCCACGACTTGCGGTGGGTGCTGAAGCGGTCGTTGTTATCGTACACGCTGCCCTCCTCGACATCGAACTGGTCCAATGCACCGGCGTCCGGGTAGTCGTCGTACCGGATGAGCGGCGGTTGGGGCTCCGTCAGCACGTAGCGGACCTTACCCGTGTGCTTCTTGGGCAGAATCACCGTGCGCTTAACCTTGAGGAAGGCGTACCGAAGCGTTCCCATCCAGCGGTAGCGCTCCGACTCGGCTGCAATGTCTCCAGCAACGCCCCAGCCCAGACCGCAGTAGCTGTAGTGCACCACCTCCGGGTTGGCCGAAGACACGGCCGTCACCACGTCCAGCGGGCGCATCTTGCGCTTCAAGATGCAGTACAGAGCCGAATTCACAGTTGGAATACCAGCGCCCGTGCCGAAGGCGTTCTGCGTACCCGCAGAAATGAGCGAGATGGGTGTCGAGGCCACAATCTCCCGCCACTCATGCTCGGGTCGAGTCAATAGACCGTTCATGAATTCACAGAGCGTGCCATCTCCACCGATGAAAACGAGCGCCTCGAAGCCGTCTTCGGCCGAGTATTCCTTGCCCATCTCAGCTCCGTGGCCGGAATGGGTCGTCTCTTCGACAACGTACTCGAAGTTGCCGAGCTCCAGGAACGGCCTGACCTTCTCCTCCCAGATCCTCCGCGCCTGTCGTTTGCCCGAGTGCGGGTTCACGACCACCTTCAGGAGCCGCTTCTCAGAAATGGGCGGCGCGCGCGCCTGCCAGCGCACGAGCTCCTGGATGGCAGCGACCCAGCTGTCGACCACCTCGGTCTCGAGGCAGTGGAAGTCCACGTGCCTGGGCGTGCGCAGCAACGCCTTGGCGCCCGTGCCGCGCCCCTTCTTGAAGTAGTGCACACGGAAGCTGCTGGCCCTCTTCTTGGGCAGCAGCTCGGCGCCCACGACGTCGTCCGTTACCAGCATGCCGAGCGTCTTCCCTCCTCTGGACCACGTGATGGTCTCCGGGTCGAGCCGGAGCTCGCACTTGCGGACGTGGTGGTCCACGCGCACGACCGTGTTGAGCTCCGTGTCCAGCGGCGCCTCGCGCCTGGAGAAGGCCGTGACGCGCCGGATGCTCTCGCGCAGGCTGCTGCCGGGCACCTCGCGCGGGTTCTCGAACGTGTAGTCGCCGATGGACGTGGAGCGCATGCTGAGCGCCGTCTTGGCCAGCTCCCGCGCCGACTCGCGCGACAGCTGCTGCACGTACGTCTGGCTGCGCTTGTGGGGCGGGCAGCGACTGCTGCTCTTGCCGGCGCTGCGCGCGTGCGGGGACAGCGTCGGCAGCTGCAGCTGGCGTTGCGCGTACTGCTGGAGGCCGCGCCCGCGCTCGTCCTGCGCCAGCGCGGGCAGCGCGAAGCCGCCCGCGCCGTTCTGGCTGCCGCTCGCCTCCAGCAGCTCCTCGGGCGTCTTGGGGGTCGTGAGCTCCACGTCGCTGGCGCGCACGGAGCTGGGTTTGCCGTGCGAGCTGGGGGGCGTCGAGAGGCCGTCCAGGAAGGACGAGCCGCCGCCGCCGCGGGGCGTCATGGACAGCGCGTCCTCGGGCACGGTCTGCGGGCCGCGGCTGTAGGCCGGACTCATGGCTGCTACTGTACCCTGTCTCCTCCTCCTGTTGGCGTCGCAGCCAGCGTTTCCGATTGTGATGGCGCTTGCCGTCGCTGTCGCCGTCGCTCGCTCTCTATCCGTTCGACACAGAGTTTCCGTTACACGGCCGTGGGTAGGGAAAGGGACCAGCTGGAGGCGACTAAATCCAGGCTGGCGTGCACGCTAAAACCACGCGCGGTTTCTCGACGCGCGTGCGAGGATACCATGCGTCGTCTGGGCGGAGGGTAAATACTGAGCTTTGCTTCGGTAGGAGGCAGCGAGCGGCGGCGCGGAGAGGGAGAAAGCGAGCGTCGAGCGCTACCTGGGCGAAAAGTTGCGAGGCGCGGTACTGTCGATGCGGTACTTGAACGATTGCACACACTTGGCTTTTGTATGGCGCGACGAGCTGGACGTGGGACTTGCGTTTTTCATTGGAAAAATGAACCCTTAATTACGAGTGCGAAAACGGTTGATTGGGCTAAAACGACCTTAAGGGGCCGCTAAATCGCTGATCCATGTTTATCTCCTAAACTTTCACGATGATTACACCAAAGACGATTGCTTTGCAAGATTACCCCCTGCCAAAACGTGAGTACTTATGGTGGTCGGGAACGGGCCGGAAGGCGTTGCAGTCGGCAGGCGGCGGCCGGCTGTCCAGCTGCAGTTTCCACCAACACGCGAGTTAAAGTCAGGCAAAGACTGCTCGTGCGTGCAAATATCTTGGCGTCAAGTGCAGATATCGCCACGAGAAAACCTACAACAACTCCCTCGTCTGCTCGGACACCGAGCTTTCGTTGCGCGTTTTGACTAAATTGGTTTGGTCACATCCATGGCTATCAATACATTAGTAGAGCGCGGGCACCTGCGCAGAGCTTGGAACAGTTGAATCGTTGAATCATTCCAGGGGCCATTTGCTCACGCCGGCGCTCATGCCGCCCCTCCGGGTGCGGTGGCACACAATCATTCGCCTGTATACCTTCTGTCAATCAATCGTTTTTTGGAGCCAGCAGCGCAGATGAGGCGCTATACTGGGCGCGAGTCACTTGCTGATCCTCGCCGTATCCGAGCAAGGCAACGAAAGGCTCGGTCGGCCATGGATCCCCCCGCATCAGCAGGCTGCCAGCAGCACGAGCAACAGCGCTGGTAAGCGGCGGCAAGTGCGCGGCGATCGCCTCGCCTCGATGCACTGCACTGCAATGCCTGCAGGATCGGGAGGGACCAGTGAATTGCTGGCAGTAATCTGTGAGACTGCCCCTCGGTGCAATCGATTACGGCAAGCGCAGCGTCGACGACATGGCTGCACTTTGGAGTCAATATCCGCCCACTACACCTCTGGCTGGTCCCTTCTCAGCCGTTGCCACCGCCACCACTGCAGTACATGTAGCAGCAGCTTTCGACGCCGTCAGTTGGACTGCCGAGCAAAAATTTTCTGGGATCCCGAGCCGCTCAGCAGCGGCAGTTCTGAGCAGGATCTGCTGTAAACGTTGGTTGGTCCTCGGAACTAGCCTCGCTGCATCTTGCTTGGCCGGAGCAATAAAAATATGCATGGAAAAAATGCGCTAGATATAATGTCTGTAGTGTGGTAGATGGTTTTACCTAGGCGTTCGCGAGTGAATTTGGTATGAGGGTCTTGAAGGCACTAAGGCTTACAACGACCTAAGGTTGTGGAACGACCCCAGGCACGCAGGGGCTTCAAGTACTTTGCCGTGGCAATTAGTTTGTCCCCTTTTTCACATTCGGTAACATCGGACTTGATAAAACAGTAGGCCGTGTTGATCAGCAGAGCCACTTTACATTACCACTTTGAAATGCCTATTTATCCTTTTTGGATCTCGTCCACCACATTGGGCCATCCAAGCAAACGCAGTCAAGATTTTATGCTGTTGGTGACGGATCTCCACAGTAGCCCCGGAGGTGCATGTCCAGGTTTGGTGCCTCGATTATTGCTTGGCCTAGCACTTCGATTGCTTCTTCTATGGTTGCCTGAAACATTAGGCTCGCGTTTCCATCGGTCACGAAATACTAAGTACTTTGTTAGCAGCAACTTGATTCGCTCGCTCGCTTCAAATTAAAGCTCTGGGCGATAGTTTTGCGAAGAGCTGACGCAACAGTCGAGATTCTATTCGTTTTCCCACGCTCAGTTTATCCAAAAACCCGTTCTACAGAGCGGCCGATCAAGGGAACAAGCGAAGGCGAGCGCTGCACACGACTTTTCTGCTACAGGAGGACCAACGACCCAAAGTATCGCCTCACTTAAACCCGAGCATCGCCACTAGTGGCAATCGCGTGAAAGAACCAACGACTGACCGCGAATACCATTTCTGGTGCAATCAGCAAAAGATGGAGAAGGTTGCAAAGTTCAAACAGAGCCTTGCTTCAATAAAATTGAGAAGCTAACGAGCTTACCGACACTTTGTGTTAGTGCTTCCGCATTTGGGATAGTGCGCTGGCCTACTGCTGCATGAGTACTTCACCACACATCCGCATCCTGAACGAAGCACAAATATTCACTGTGCACGTACTTGACCTGTAAATGCAAGATCCGGAGCTGTTCCGGCAGCTTCAGGGCGAAACAGGGCTGGCTCCCAAAATGACTGCCGCACTCTGCAAAGTACAAATGTCTAATGTCTCCCTCCAACCACGCAGTTCATCGCGGTGAACGATCTCCACTCAAACGCCTTGAAAAAGTTCCTGCATAAGAGTCATTTAATTACCATACCCTTCTTCTGCATCCCCCTCTAGCTCCGAGTCGCGTACGAGTAGCACACGTAGAAGAAGATGAGCGTGAAGAGCATGCCGCCTATCACAATCCAAAAGTCCACCGTGTCTCGCCGCTCGATCACCCGCAGCAACGAGCTCGACAGCCCTAATCTATTGGCGATGTCCAGCAGCTTCGTGCGCACATTCTACCGCAACAACAAGAACAACAAAAAGAGCAACGCAAAACAGTCAGCTCTAAAGTCCTCCCTCCCTCTCAGTTCGTCCGCCCGCCCGGCCGCACCTTCATCCGGTTGCGCTGCTCGCCCAGGTCGCCAAGGATCGACTGCGACAGACTCGTGAGGTCCGAGACCATCTGCGACGAGCGCTGCAGACTCTCCGACTCCTGCGCCGCGTATATGGCCCCGTTGCCGCTGTCGAAGCCGGCGTTGCGCCTGCTCATGAGGCTCTCGCGCTCGCGCGCCTCCACGGCGCGGCGGTTGACGCTGTAGATGTGCTGCTCCAGCGTGCTGCCGAGTGCGTGCGTCTCGCTGCGCAGCTGCTGCAGCTTCTTGGCCCACGTGTCGCGCTCCGCGGGCTTGGCGCTCGTCTGCACGAGCGAGTCGAGCTGCCACAGCAGCTGCTCCAGCGTACTCAGGTTGGCGCGCGCCTCGGCCTGCAGCTCCGCGTCCGTGCGGCCGCCCGTGCGCCCCGAGTCCAGGTAGCTCATCTGCATCTTGAGCTCGAACTGCAGCTTGCGCGCCTGCGGGTACAGCGAGTCCAGCGTCTGGCGGCCCGCGAGCCCCATGGCGGGCGGCGGCGGCTGCATCCGAGGCTGCATACTGTAACGTTTTACACTGCGGAAGGAGACGCGTAGCGTTGTATGGAGTTGTACAAAGTGATATCGACTTGGGGAGGAGACACTGTAGCCATGTTGTGTTGTTGTTAAGTTGACTTGTGTATTGAGCTTTTTGCCTTGAGCTATTTGCTTTTCTTCCGCTAAGAGTCTTGCAGCAGCCCCAAGCCGGATCTTTCATTCGATGCGTCTGCCACTTCGTGTTCGACGTTGTGGCAGAAAGTGACGGTGATGTAAGCGCGAGCTCCGCCCGATGAGCTCTGGGCTCGGGCCTGCTTTTGATCGCAACTGGGCGATATAGTACGTTTTAGAGCAATTTCCTCCTCCCGCTCTGAGCATCTACAGACAAGTGGAAGTCGGGCGGCTCCGGATTAAACACGGCAATGCAACTACTCACCGATATCTTCTCTCCACCGTTCTAATGCCCGGAGTGACGATTCGGTTCCATGCGCCTAAACACCGGACCGAACGCTTTGACGTCCACAGCAATGGGATAGCGCTGTCACGGTGGTGTTCATCGCTGGTGCGCCCCTCTCCCTTCGCCGCCCACGGTGCAGTGAGCACCAGGACGACCGGTATTGTTGCAGCTGCCATACCCTGCACCAACGGTTCCTGTAGGGTAATTTATTCAACGAGCGGCACTGCAGGCGAGTTGCTTGCACTGTTGCGGTGGAGTGTGGACACCACCGTTGCAGACACCGCCAGAAAAAATGTAGCCGCTGCTCCCGAGCACACTGCAAGATATCCGGAATTCGATTGTGTTCATTCGCCGGAGCAAGCACAAAGGCGGCTTCCCTGGCTGCAGCATCGCACCGCTATCTCAGCACCCTCAGCACCCGCCACCAGGAGTTCCGCGGAGTCCGTCCCTGTTGCAGCGCGGTCGTGCCACCTGTTTAACGACGACCATCGATTTGGAGAGGGGTTGACAGAGAAACGGCGACAACCGACCAGCCGCCCTCAACACTGCGAGACGCACTGCGCCAACGCTGCGCTCGGTGCTTAGCTTTTAATCTTCCGCAATGGGTTGGAGCAGCTGGAGCTCGGATGCATGCACGAGGCACGGGGTGCGCTCCAATTCGCCCGAGATCGTCTCGGACATATCTGCGTGAGTCCGTCCTTTTCGGGTGCCGGTTTTGGCAGTGCATGTGCAAAAGTGGGCACGTCCAGTCACTCGAGCTGAATTTTAGACTTCGGCGCCAGCCAATCGCGGGACCCCCTTTCGGTCCAGGCCCTGCCAGAACCGATCACCGGCGTACCCGACTTTGGTCGGTTGTCTCCGTTTCTCTGGCGCGGCGCCCCTGTCGCCCCAGCCCCCCCTTCTTCCACCACAGCCCTCGGTTGACTTAGTGGCAGCCTTCCTGTGCTATTAGTGCTGCGCGTGCGGCACCCCGCTCCGCTCGCGCTTTTCGCGGGGCAACGTCCGCTCCGGTCTGCTCGCAACAGCCCGCGGGATCAGTTCGCATCGTTAGATATCGCCCCGCCCGTGCCCCCCTGGATCCCTTTTTCTGCGCACCAAACAACAGAACGGTGGGGGAGCCAACAGAACGTGGCCAGTGGTGGCGGAAACTCGTGCGCGGCAACGGCAGCACTTCGCCCTCCCTCCCGACACGGAGTCCCGAGTGCCTATATCCTGCGTCTGCATGGTTCATTGCATTACAATACTTGCGTAGCTGGGGGGAGGGCTCGCTCACAGCACGCAGAGCTTTCATCGAGCAGAAAAACTTTGTTCTTCTTTAGGCGACCGCTTCCGCTGGAAGTCACCACCCACGACGCTTGCTCCGTTAGATCGCGGATACTATGGCGCTCGTCCAACGTGTGCTGGCATGCCTGCCTCGTCCCGGCCAGTGATAGACGTTGCAAAAGACTGCGTCTCCGGCAGTTGGCGCTTTGCCGGACAGGTCTCGCTCGGTTGCTGACGACCATTGTTTGGTCTCGGACAACAGTGCGGATGTGTGGACAACGATGACTACCGCCACCGAAGATATAGTGTGGTGCACACCACGTGGTGGGCCGCGGCTTCACCTCGCGCTACAGTGTACAGCACCAATAATGTGAAGGCGACCCCGTGCGCACGAGCGAGCGTTCGCGCTGGACTTGCAGCCAGCTCAGCGCCGGCTGCTCCTGGCCGTTCGGCGCGGCGCCTCGCTGTCTCGCGCTTTTTCGGCAAGCGCCCAGCTTCAAGCTGTACATGTACTCACCTTTTGGTCGTCGGATGTGGTCGCGCATCCACCCGCCCACGTTTCTCTGGGACTAGGGTTACCGATCGGTTTGGGCGGGGCCGGGCGGCCCGGAATTCGAGGCGCTTCGGTCGAGACACGGCTCGGCAGCGTTCACTGGCGCCGCACAAGCGATTTTGCCGTCTGGCCCCCACGCGCTCGCGCAGGGTAAGTGCGGCTCATGTTGGCGCTATAATTAGGGCGGAACAGGCAACAAACAGCCCCGCCGTGTCTCGCCCACGACGGCGCCAATACACCCACCACCACCACCTTCCCCAGCTGAGCTAACCAGGCGCGTCCGTCCGTCGTGTCTGCCTGCAGCCAACGAAGGAAGCAGCAGCGACCAAAAGAGAGAGAAAGAGATCAAAGGAACCCAACCAGCAGCATTGGGCCGTCGAGCCATGAGCAGCTTCGCGCGCGACGCGCCGTCGACGTCTGCGGCCACCAGCGCCGCGGCCACGTCGGGAACGACGTCGACGTCGACAACGACGACATCCACAGCCCCAACAGGCGGCGGTAACAAGAGCAACAACAACAGTAACAACAACAGCAGCAGCAGCCCGAGCGGGAGCAGTCCGGGCAGTCCCGAAGACGGGAACGGCAACGCGCGAGGCGGACGCAAGGGCCCCAGCAACGCCTCGGCGGCGCAGCAGCAGCAGCAGCAGCAGCAGCAGCAGCACCAGCAGCAGCAGCAGCAGCAGCAGCAGCAGCAGCACCAGCAGCAGCAGCAAAGCTCTAGCAGCGACGGTAGCAGCAGCCCCATGCGCCGCCTCCCGGCGGTGATGCGGGCACCCGCTGGATCTTCGAGCACCGCGGCCGGTAGCAGCACCTCCACCAGCACCACGCAGGCCAACTCGAACACCGTGGCCACCAGATCGCAGACGCAGCAGCAACAACAACAAGGACAGCAGGGCCCCGCCTCCGCGGCGGAAAACCGCGATCTTACCGGTATAAACCGGCGACACCTGTACACAGCCCAGGCGATGGCAGGTGCCTACGGCGCCAGCCCCGGAGGCGGCAACGGCGCAGCGTCTCCGCCGGCGATGCAAATGCAGATGCAGCAGCCGCACCAGTACCATGGGTCGGAGCCCGGCGGTCGTCTCACGACGGGGTCGTCGTCGTACAACCACAACCGTCATCTCTCCCCGGTGTCGTCGCCGGCCATGGCAGGCGATTCCTGGGCGCAGAGTGCCGCTGCAGGCGCCAATATGGCCAGTCGCGGTGTCAAGCGCCACCTGCAGCAGCCCTACGACGCGCCTATGTACGATGCCTACGGAATGCGCGCGGGATCCAGCGGAGGAGGAGGCCCTGGAGCATCGGGAATGGCCATGCGGATGGCGCAACCTGGGGCCCAGCAGGGCGTGCCTTCCAGCAGCGGTGCTAGCATGGGCGGGGCAGGCCGTATCCGATCAGCGCAGCTGCAGCAGCAGATGTATGGCCTGCCGCCCAACGAAGATCCGATGCAGTACGAGCCGTCGGGGGAGGCGCGCCACCCGCGCGACAGCACGCGCTACGAGACCTGGACCTCCAAGCAGCTTCGCAAAAAGTGCTCGTACCTCAAGCTGCGCGGTCTCAAGAACGTCAAGAAGCATGTGATGGTGGAGGCTTTGTACCGGTATTACCGCAATCAGCGCCTGAAAGACATGGCAGACGCCGCCAGCGCTGAGAACAGCGGCAGTGGCAACAACGCGGCCTCGCAGCCTCAAATTGCGTCGCCGCAGCAACAGCAGCAGCAACAGCAGCAGCAACAGCAGCAGCAACAGCAGCGACGGATGGATGTGCGGCGGCCGTCTAGCATCGCCGGCAGCTCGGGATCGCGTGCTGATCTCCAGTACCGCTCGCGGTATGACCAGCGCAGTACCGGTCCGCCATCACAGTCGCAGTACGGTTCGCACGCGTCTCGCGCCCGGAGCTACGTCAACTACGGCAGCCAAAGCACCTCGCCCCCATCGAGCGGAGGGGACAGCGGGAGCTCGCACCCGCAGCGCCCAGGCGCATCGTCGACCAACAGTGGTTACTATCTGGACGAGGAGTCGAAGGGTGAGTCGCGGTACAAGGAAGTGCCGGTAACTTCGGAAGACGTGATCCGTCTGGTGGATGTCGTGCTGTCCCCCGAGTTCGTCGATCGGCTGGCAGCTGAATTATCTCGATGGCAGTTTTGGGTGGACGTCCGCGAAATGTACATCGCGCTGCTCAACCGTCAGCACCCGCCTGGATCGGCAGGCGCTGGTAGTGAGGGTGGACCTGTAGGCACGGGAGGCAGTGCCACGAACTCGCGCAATTTCAAGTGGAGCAGCATGCAGCTTTGGGAGATCTGGAAGGAGCTTTCGTTCGCGTACACCAAGACCTGTTTCGAATTCACTGCTGCTGGTATGAACAAGAGTGAGCACAACCTATATATCGCTTCTGCCTGCTGGGGGTCGAAGCTCTCTTTGCTGGTCCCGTGTTTATGGCTTCATGGCCGACAACGGGCAGCGAGAGTGGAAACCCCACGATGAGATGCGACAGACTTACCCGCGACTTGAGTGGAGCGATATCTTGTGCCCCTAAAGCAGCCTATACTGACGCTTTGTGTGTGTGTGTTCCTTTTTGCTTACAGGAGTAGACGACCGGGAGTACATCAACTTCTGCGACGGCAGGCCGGATGTGTACTACCTGCACCAGCGGTTGCACTCCCGCCCCGATCTGTTGCACCTGATCAAATCGAACGAGTACATTGACGAGAAGTGCACGAGCGAGGCGTCCGAGTCCATCGCCCAAGAGCAGCAGCGGGCTCAGCAACAACAACGGCAGGGGCCGTTGATGGGCACTGGGTCTCCTATGCTGCGCGGCCACAAGCGCTACAAACGGTCTACACCCCTGGCAGGAGCTGGGCCTGCGTCGGCCGCGTTTAACAGCGCACGTGCAATCGCAGCCTACCGCGATGGCGCTGCAGTGGTTGATGGGGCAGGAACAGCCAACGGAGGGAACAGTGGTGACAACGGTTCAGGCCAAGGCAGTGGCGACTCGCGTGGCCACTCGCCGGAAGAAAACAGCACGGAGAACTCGGAGACAACGGGCGAAGAAGGCAGCAACAGCACAACGGCCAACTCGAACGCGAGCAACAGCTCTCAAGACGTGTCGATGCGCGCTGCGCTCGCGGAGCAGAAGTACTTCGGTCTGCTGCTGCAGAACTTCGAGGTCATCTTCGAGTCGCTGCACAACAAGAAGGTGCTCCTGGCGACGCTGCGCAAGGACAACAAGGCGCCCGACCACCTCATCGCCGACCTGCACGACGACATCCACGTGCTGTCGGCACTCAAGAAGGAGTTCCGCAACAAACTGCGGCGCACGATGCAGTGAGGCGGGCGATGGCGAGCTGCAGCTCAACTGCGCGACGCCATCCCCCCGCCGGTAGTAAGAAATTCGGCTCCAACCCTGTGGTGATCGATGCCCAGCCTACCGATCGGGAGCCCACGAGAGGAAGAATGAGTGTAGTGTATAATGCGCGCCGTATATGATGGTGAGCAGGGAGGAAGGAGGCCTTGAAGGTGATACCTATTTATCAGTGTGAACAAGTTGAAGTCGTTGCAGGCTGCCGTATCAATTTAAATTTGAATCGGCCAATCACAAGCCTCCCCGCGATGCAGAAATAGCTACACTTCCTGCATGGTACGTACACTTCTTGCATTTTGGTGGTCGGTAATATTGTTCCTGCTCTACTTACAGAGACATGGGGGCTGGCGCGAGCGCCATGATCTGGCCGTACGCCGACATCCAGTACGGCTTCCTGGACAGGGAGCTGGGCTTCGACAACTTGCACGCGTTGGCGGCGCAGGGCAGACACCGCGCAGTGCGGAAGCTGCTGCGCAAGGGCATGGACCCAAACGCTCGGAGACTGGAAGGCGCCTTCGGGGCGGATGACGACGAGCGAGGCGACTCGCCCATGATATGTGCAGCCAGGTTGGTTTAGATCTCTTGCACGGCAGCACAGAGTACTAAAGAGAGAGTTGTGTCTGTGTAAAGAGGGGTGCTGGGCAACAAAGACCAACCGCGACACGTCAAGACGCTCGAGTTGCTGCTGCATTTCGGTGGCAAGGTCAACCAGCCCAACCTGGTACAGGGCTTTAGTGCGTCCAACTTGTTGTTTGGTCTGAAATCGGTACTAAGTTCTGTATGGCGCTATGCAGCTGAATCAGACGCCCCTGTACATCGCGTGCGAGCGCAACGTGATGCGAGTCGCGATGTGGCTCCTTGAGCACGGCGCCGACGTCAATATCAACTGCAAGGTTTGGCCTCGCAACTCAACCTGCCCTCCATCGAGCTACTAGTATCTTCGTTTGAACGTCAGCTTAGTATTCATTAACGTGGATTGACCGATGCCGAACCCTGTAGACTGGTGTCTCGCCGCTCATGTGCGCCTACCAGAACCAGAACATGGCGCTGGCCACGCTGCTTCTGGAGAAAGGAGCGGTCGTTATCCGCCCGCCAGCCAGATTCAGCCATGTCAAGGTAGACTGTATGACTTGTCCTTCTTACTCGGTATCACTAACTCACTGCTGATCGGGTGTGACAGTTCCCTGAGCTAGCAGACCAACTTAACGAAGGTGAAGAGGCAGTTGATGACAAGAACGCTGCCGTGCTGCAGTCAACGCTGCAGCAATACATTGACCGAGAGGCGGAGCGTCGGGCTCGCCTGGTCGAAGCCGCCAACGAGGCTCAGCGTCTTGAGGATCAACTTGTCTACCGCGAGCAACTGGCCCGAGACGGCGCAAAGCGTAAAGCTCGCCGTCGTCGGCAACGCCTGGAGGCCCAGCAGCGACGAAATCTGCCTCCAGTGAAAGCTCTTGGCGCTGCCACAGATGCAGCAGAATACGAACGCAACGAAGAGCAGTATACTTCGTCACAGATCAACAGCAACCCCAACCAGGGCGACGCTCTGCTGCTCTGGGAAAAGAAGGCTGTGGTGCCGCGGCCTCGCTCCGTGGTGTCGTCGGACAGACCTCGGTGGGTAGCGAGGCAGATCCACTGCACGCAGCAGTCGCAGAACCATCGAACCGAGTCGGAGCACGACTTCATGCGCCAGTGTACCAAGCTCTACGACTCGCTCGAGCAGGAGCGCAGCCGTCGCCTCAGCATCCGGTCCATCGTCACTGCGCCGGCAGCGGTCAATGCAGCTCGTCACGGCCTGCTGCCATGCGATGTGCGGCAAGAAACTGCTTCGTTCTAATGGAGGCGATCTTAGTAAATGAAACGACGCGCACTCGCGCCTACTCAACATCATTGGGCGCTTTGAGCTCAATATACCTGGCGAGCGGAGAGATAACCACCGAGACGCAGCATGCCTGGGCGCGTGAGCCAACACCACCAGGAGGAGGTATGACCGACCCAGTGACTATATGCATCGTTTGGTTCAATGTACTGAGAGTCTCACGTGACGCTGCTGACAGTTGGGCAAGTTCCTCAAGTTCTTCCGCTCGCGCCTCAAGACGCACCTGGAGAACGTCGAGGCCGACTTTGAGGACACGCGCTCGGATCGCTTGTCGTCCGAAGAGGTCTACAGCCAGAAGGACATCCAGGAGGCCATCAAGTCGCTATGCTTCGCCGTCAAGGTGCCGATACCTGCGATCCTTAACTTGTCTGACGTAGCCTTACCCTGACATTTTGAATGTTATTCGTTGCGTTGCTAGGCCAACATTCGCAGCGAGCTGCAAGATACCATCAATATGATGGCGTTGCTGCTGCGCCAGATCTTCGTGGAGGCCGAGGACAGTGTACGTCCTGCATGACAACCCGGATATTGAGAATAATATGGCTAACTTTTTCAGCTTGGGAATGCTATAGGATCTGGCGCTCGACCTGGACATCGCCATGGTTGAAGACAAGGAGCTGCTGGAGCGAGTGGAGCAGCTCAGCGTGTCCGAGTGGATGAGCGGGGACTCAAGCGGCGGGGCACAGATCGGAGCGATGCCAAAGAATAACGCCAAGGTGAACGCCGACGCCGAGGCCAAGGACAAGTTGGAGAAGCGGCTTCAACAGGAGCAGGAGCAGCACGAGGAGGAGATCCGCGCAGCCAAACTCACATCCAAGCAGGAGGTGGACGTGCTCGAGGCGGCACACGCCAAGGAGCTGCGCAAGTTGCAGCGCAAGCTCGAGCAGGCCGCCGAGCGGGTGGAGGAGCTCGAGAAGCAGGTGGAGGACGGCCGGCAGCACATCGCGCAGACGTCGCAGTTCCAGTCCATGAAGCGCATGGTGACGACCAAGAACCAGCAGCTGCAGGACCTGCGCCGCCGCCTGCAGCGCTACGAGCCCGACTACGCCGAAGACGACGGCGAGACCAAGAACGCCGACGAGGACGACGACTAGCTGACGATACAGTATAGCGCCAGTCTGCATATCACCACAGCCTAATAGCCAATGCTCAGCACACCTCGTCCCTTAACCTGTCACGGCCGTATCCACCGCTGTTGCTTAACCTGTATGCCAGATACCCTTGGGCCATCACCCCCTGCGAATCAATAGACAACACTGAGAGGCTGAAGGCGATCCAGTAGTCGAAGAGAGATGGTGAGTACAGGTCGGAGCGTCCTTCTCAAGAGAATTCGTTCTGGTTATCCGCTGCTACCAAAAGGAGGGTCCTGTTACAGTCCACCAACTCCAGGGAGCCAGCACGAAACCGCGCACCAGGGCAGTACCGACTGAAGCCGAGCCCAGCCAGCGGCGCCCAGAGAGACCGCGTCCATCTGCCTCCCGCGACGATCGTAAAACTGCCACGTCCAGCCCAGCTGCTTACAGGCCGAGCTTGGTGCGGCGCCAGTGGCGGCGCTTGGCGTTGTACTTGATGGTGTTGTTTGTGCGCAGACGGATCCACTGCGGGATCGGGCGGTTCTGCTTGGCCTTCTTGGCGAGGATGCGCTTGGTACGGAAGGTCTTGTGCGACGGCTGCGGGCATCAATTAACACGGCAAGGACAGGTTAGAGAGCTGCTGCTGATTGATGGTCGATGTATCGGTATTAACCCTTGTGGGTTTCTCTGTATTGAGGCGGCTGCTGGGGCTAAAAAGCAGTGCGCGCGACGCGCCGCTCGTCGGCGCACACGGTCCTGCTGGCGGCGCCATCACGCGCAGCCTGCTCCTCGCCCTGCACGCAGCCGAAGCGTACGAATTCACGCACCATTTTGGAAGGAATTTATGCGGACTGGCGCGCTGTTGCCACTGGGGCGTCCATGAGCTCAGCGCGCAGCCAACCAGTGGCTGAAGAGGTTCTTACGCGCAACTTTCGGTTTTTACGAGCAACGTAGACGGCGCGTAAGAAGGTTTTTACGCGTTTGTGTTCGACACCAAAATGTACCCATCTGACTTTTTTCGTGCACAAATTGGCGGAAATATGACACGCTGGAAGATCGCCGCCCCGCTCCGATAGACCTGGGTTGCGCTCTTCATGCAACCTAGCTAACTCTGCTCTAGCAATTGCCTCGGGCGTCGGCGTGTGGGTTGAAAGTGTTACGACGGGGTTTTGCCTCTTCCTCAATCGTCACACATCCTGGTCTGGTAGAGCGACTATTGACTATTGCTACCGATCGACTTAGACGGGTCGCCAAAAGCACTTGATCTTTGTATGCGACCGCTGAATATCCACTTCTTTGCGTGTTGTGCATCAACTCAGACCCGACAGTGGACCCACCGCCGCATTCCGCTTTATTGCACCTGCACGATGGAGGCGGCCGCCGGTTCCGCTGGCGTGCGGCGCCTGAGCGCGGACGCCTTGGACGCTGAGGCCTCAGCCATGGACACAGGCGCGTCCGACTTGTCCGTGTCGCCGTCGCCGCTGCAGTCGCCCGTGCTGCGGCCCCCCGTCAACGTGTCCACCGCAGCAGCCACAGCCGCGTCCGCCAGCCCCGCAGACGCGCAGTCCCCGCTCCGGTCGGCGCTGCGCAAGCCCAACAGCCCGCAGCAGCCCAGCACCAGCAGCAAGATGGCGCGCCGCGTGTCCATCGAGAGCAGCTCCAGGCAGCAGCGCGACCGCCTGAGCTCCTCGCAGCAGTCCACGGACTCGACGGGGCTGGGCGACTCCGGCGTGAGCCTGCGCTTCCGCCGCTCGCCGCCCAACAGCAAGACGTCCGCGCGCGGCTCCTTCGCGCTGCGCGAGTCCAAGCTGTCGCGCGCATCGTCCGCCGTGGGCGCGGGGCTCCGCGAGAGCTTCTTCGGCGTCATCGGGCGCGGCACGACCGTGAACGACCCGCTGGAGCTGTCCCCCAACCAGGAGTTCGACCTGGACGTGATCGACGAGAGCGGCGGCCTGGACGAGAACATCGGCCAGATCCTCAAGCCCCAGCTGGACTTCAGCAACTGGTCCAGGGAGGGCTACGTCGTGCTGGGCGTGGGGGTCGCGCTGCTGCTGATCATGGTCGTGCTGGCCGAGATGGTCAACGCGCTCAACGGGTACAGCATCGACCCGGGCCTCGTGTTCGGCTCGCTGCTCACGCTCATGCTGTGCGTGTGCGTGTTCGTGACGTTCCACGGCGTGCAGAGCTACCAGAGGCACCCGAACCCGCTCATCTACTACAAGTGCGTGATCGACATTTTGCTGGCGCTGAGGTTTCTGCTTGACCCGTTGCTGCTGGAAATGGGCATCTACAGAGAGGGAGACGAGGCCTCCTGCGCGTACCTGTCGGGCATCACGCAGTTTCTGTATCTGTCCAGCGACTGCTGGTACTTCGCGCAGATTTTGGATCTCTACTGGTCGCTCACGAACCCCTTTATGAGCGTCAAGGCCAACCGCAGGACGTACAAGATGATGGTGTACTCGGCCGGAGCGTTCACGGGTCTTCTTGCTGCGTTTGTTCCGGGTATCCACGGCTTTGCAGACGGAAACTACTGCTGGACCAAGAGGAAGACGACCGAAGACCCTGTGGAGAGGGACTTCTTCCACCTCAACCGCGGGAGCTGGCTGCTGTTCTACATGTGGATGATCTTCTTCTATCTCTCGGGCATCGCCGTGCTGATCTTCGGAGTCAAGCGACTTCGATCGGGACTGCGGGATACGCTGGCGAGTCGGCGTGAGATGCTGCGCAACGGTGCGCTATCAATTACCAGCTACACCATCTACTGGACTATTGTATTCGTCTGGTACGCGCTGTCATTCCAGACGCGCACGACGTATGACGAGGATGGGAACTTACCGCCGAGCCACATCTTCCGCGCGTTCACGTTCGCGCTCTCAGCCCGCGGAGCTATTGACTACTTTGTGTGGTTCATGATCAACAGTCCCGCGCTGGTTCGTGAGAATTGGCTCAAGTTTTCGTCGGATTCGGCGGACAAGCAGTTCAGCGCGCAACTTAATACGGCCCTCCAGGAAGAATTGATCTACTTTACCATTGAAGGCATGACGCGGGCAGTGCAGATCGCTGAGGACGACCTCATCCGCATTCGCAACCGGTCTCCCACACAAGAGCTCGTGTTGGATGCTAGCGACGACGAAGAATATCGACGTTCCACTGAGGATCCCAGTGAGGCTGCAACCAGAGCAACGGGTCCGCTTGGAATGGGCAGTAGCGGCAACTTGCTGCAAAGTATCCAGAAGAATCGGATGCTCAACAGCATTCAGGAAGTTATCAGCACGGGGCTCCACCGCACTAGCAGTGTGGATCGACGCGCGAGGAAAAAGAACAGCAAGGAGCCCGACTTCAGCTTCGACATCCCTCAAGACCAGCGCTCGCTACACCAGCCGCCGAAGCCGGCTCATCGTGACAACAACCCCTCATCCGCGTCGACGGCTGCAACGTTGGCTGATTCACAGCCACCAGCTTCGACGGTGGGCTCTACAACAGCATCCATTCGGTTTACGCCTTACAAGCCGCAGGCCTTCGCGGAGCTGCGCCAAGCGTTCGGGATCAAGGCTGCCGACTTCATGAAGTCTTTCCAGACGAGTACCAAGCCCAACATCAGCGAGGGTGCGAGCGGTGCCTTCATGTTCTTCAGCGGCGACAAGAAGTACATCGTCAAGTCCATGGCCGAGGAGGAGGCGCGCTTCCTGTGCGAGATCGCAGAGCAGTACGCCGAGTACCTGACGCTGAACCCGTGCTCGCTCATCACCAAGTTCTACGGTTGTTTCAAGATCACCATGTACGACAAGCGCTTCTACTTCATCGTCATGGAGAACTTGTTCGACGTCATGGAGGAGGGGGTGCAGATCCACCACCGGTTCGACATCAAGGGGTCGTGGGTGAACCGCAGCTACAAGCGCCCGCGCCATGGGGCCAAGGTGAAATGCCGCCACTGCTCCATGATGTTCAAGTACGGCGCCAAGAAAAGTCAGCTGCAGTGCCCCAACGTTGTGGGACTGCACGAGCCCAACGTCGTGCTGAAGGACAACGATCTGCGCACGCGGATGCGGATCGGCGCCGACGAAGGTATCGAGTTGTATGAGCAGCTGCGTGATGACTCGATTTTCCTCTGCGAGCTCGGTATCATGGACTACAGCCTGCTCCTCGGCGTGATGGATATCGAATTTATCGTGGACCAGCCTTCTCAGCCCTTTGGCAACAGCACCGTCGTGAGCGAGCGCACGGCTGCAAATACGGCTACCAATTCGGCGTCCAACTCCACAGCCAACACTCGGAGCAACGACAGCTTCATGTCCGCATCGTCGTCGAATTGGTCGGCGTCCACCGGCAGTTCAGCGAGCGGTTCCTCCGTGAACAAGCACATTCACCACCACGAAGACGATGCGGCCCCCAAGAAGCTGGGTATGAGCGTGGCGCCGAGCGTGCACTCACTTTTCCAGCAGCGAGAAGACCCTCTGAATCAATCGCGGTATCCGTCCACTGGCGGAGAGCCACGTCCTAAGCGCTCTATGCGTAAAAGTCAGCGCGTGTTCGGCCCTGGTTACTACTACGTCGGCATCATCGACATCCTCCAGACGTGGACGCTGCAGAAGAAGCTCGAGCGGTTCTGGAAGGTCAACATCCAGCAGAAGGACGGCGACGGTCTCTCGGCGATTGACCCGGCGCGGTACCAGCGTCGGTTCGAGACCAAGCTGCGCGAGATCATCGCGCTTCCGAAGCAGTACAACCACCGCCAGCGCCGCAACCGGCCGGCCAAGAACGCGGGCAACATGTTCGAGTCGGTGCAGCGTTTGAGCCCCGTGCTGCAAGCCGCAGCCGCGTTCGAGAGCGCTGCCGCCGCCAAGGAGGCCCGTCGCGAGCTGGCCCGCGCCCGCGGCGACTCGACCGACACGGACTCGTCAGGGATGTCTTCCAGCGCAGCGGACGAAAGCGATCTGGAGCAGGCCGGCCGCAACCCGCAGCCGATCCTGCTGCCGTTCAACCAGCGACTGATCACCACCAACTCGACGCGCAGCCAACTGAGCCTCACGGACCTGGCCGTGTGAAGGAAGGGCTCAGCGGTGGTGCCACTGATCCTGAAAGTTTAAGTTGAAGCTGCCCATAGGGCAAATAGGAATAGATAGGTAGGAAGGAAGGAGCGTACTAACGGAGACCGTGCGGCTTGTATAATAGCACCGACAACGAACGAGAGCTGCTACCTGTTATGGCCAGCTAAATCGCGCTGACTCCTGCTAAATCGCTTTTCTGTATGCACTGTTCGGCGTACCGGTACCACGCGGCACGCGCCATCGCTTCTTGATCGCGGAAGCTCACAGCGGCCTTATCGTAGCATGGCGGTGGTGATCACCTCCTACAGACTCGGCGCGTGCGTGCAGCTGCAGGGAAAGTGACGCCGCATGGCGAAAGTCTTCGTCGATCCCGACTCTATCCTAGAGCCGCTCAATGCGAACGAAAAAGTCTGCGCAATGCTCCATCGCGTGACGGACGGAGAGAGAGTCGAGGTTTGCCAGCGTCGCGCAGCATGCTGCGGGATTTGTCCGCCTCGATGATAGGCAGCATCGGGCCATCTGGCGGGTTCCGGGCAACGGCCGAAAGCACTTGATTTCACTATGCTCTCTGCAAGTGCGACTATCATTCCGCCACGCGACCGGGGGAAAAGGCTCGACAGAGCAGACGCATCTCTCCGTCGCGGCGTCGACCACCCTGCACTGCCGCCACCTGCCCGGCCCTGCCCGGCTCGGCCAGTGCCATTGACGCTTGCCAGACTTCCGTCGAACAGGCTGGCCAGCAGCACAAGATGCAGGCCACGATGGACAAGCAGCAGCAGCAGGCGGCCGACGACACGCTGGACTGGTACAGCCAGGTCCAGCGCAAGGTGTTGGCCCGAAGCCGCAGTGCCAGTCTGCCCACTGCCGACGAGCAGCAGCAGCGCGCGCGCGGCACGAGCGCGCCCTACGCAGACGCAGCAGACGCAGCAGACGCCGCGCAGGCCGACTCCAATTCCAACCCGCCGCCCAATAGGCGCCGAGGCTTCTCGCTGGCCCGCCACCAGTCCGTGCCGGCCATGTCCGTGGGCAAGGGCGAGCGTCGCCGCCGGCGCAAGGTGACGTTCAAGAACATGTACGCGCCCGACGTGGTGCCGCCCCCCAAGGTCGAGAGCTACGACGAGCTCGTGTTCAACGTGGCCGGGCTGTTCCACACGACGTCGTTCCTGCACGACCCCGAGGACTGGGGCGAGGACCCCACGTCGGGCAGCATGTCGTCCGAGGACGAGTACTACGACCCGGAGCCGCCGCTCGAGCGTTCCGTGCCGCTCATGATCGCCGAGTTCCTCTACCGCTCCGCCGTGTTCCTGGGCTACCCGCAGGGGGACACGCCGTGGCTGCCCGGCTTCCGCGAGGACAAGAAGTTCTCGGGCAACGACGTCAAGCGCTGGCGCCGCCTCGCGCACTTCGACTGGGAGACGGAGGAGAAGGAGTTCCAGCGGTGCCACCGCGCGCCGCCGCCGCCCACGCTCGGCCGCACGGCGTCGGTCGAGTCCAACGGCCACACGTCCGTCAAGACGACGCTGGGCGCCAGCTTCCACATGCGCCGGCACGACAGCAGCGTGAGCGTCGACTCGGCCGAGTCCACGTCCAGCATGCGCAGCCAGGAGAGCCACGTCTCAGGTAAGGGCAAGACCAAGTTCCGCTCGGCCGTGTCGGGCTGGATCCGCAAGCAGCGCCGCAACCACAGCAAGGAGAGCAACACAGTGGAAGAGCCCCAGCGCCAACCAGAGCCCGAGAGCGACGACCAGAGCGAAGAGAAGAAGAAGCGACACAAGCGCAAGCCCGTGTCGTGGCTCAACCCGCCGCCCATCTCGTCGTCTCGAGACCTGAGTCTGCTCGTGGACATTATCAACTCGTGCGTCTACTGCGGCCAGTTCCAGTTCAGGAAGCGCGACATCGTGCGTCTCTGCAATGTCAGGATTTAGATTCCCCCCGTTTTATTGCGCTGCGCAGCGCTCTCCTGTTGGAGGAAGACAGGAAGAGCGCGCGCTGCACCCAGACTTTTTAGTGTGCTTTAGCAGTCCATGCGTGACGCCTGGTAGTCGAATACAGTGTGTATTGTCCCTATTGCATCGAGGTGGTGTCCGCATTGCATCAAGCGTTTCTCCGTTCGGACGCAGCACAAACAGGACAAGACGTTGTAAGGCTGCAGCTCGTCCCGCTTGACTAGCGTGTCGTTCATCGAGGTATTGACAGTGCTAGTTCACTTCAACTCATTCGTTGGACCCGCCGTTGGGTTTCATAGTTTGTTCCTTCACATTATTGACCTTAACCGAATAAAAAATCTGTTCCCAGTCGCGCCCTACTTAGATCCAGCCGTCCTCCTCCACGATGAACTCGAGGCGCACCAGGTCGTTTACCTCGTCGGGCGTGAACAGCACCTCGCCGAAGTTCACGCAGCAGTTGACCACGTCGCAGAGCTTCTCGAGCTTGACGTTGGAGGGCACCTCCAGCTCGTCCTCGTCCTCCTCCACCTCGGGCTCCTCCTCGACCACGCTCTCGCTCAGAGATCGGTGGAACGACGTGCTCTTGAGTCTCCGGCGCGGAGCTCTCGAGTGCTGGCTGTCACTATCACTATCAGTGCCCTCCGTCACGGAGGAACTGGTGCGCGACGACGGCGCCTCGACGTCCTTGCCCTTGACGCCCAGAGCGGCGGCGGCCTGGGTCGTCGTCACCTCCTCGAGGATCCAGTCGTGCAGCGCGAGCCGACGCCACATGCGGATCTCCTCGTTCGAGATGTTCACTACGTTGCCGTGCTTGGTCCGCGTGCCGTGAAGGAATGCCATAGAGCGTTCGAGGAACTCCTGCACCTTCGTGGTCGTGGGTCGCTGGTCGTGGGAAGCAAACTTGCACACGCGCACCAGCACATCGTCATAGCTCTCCAGCGCAGTGTAGGCGCCCGATGCCCCGTCGTTCGCATCGAAGGCAACAACAATAGGCTTCGTGCTGAATCGCGTGCGCTTGGCGACACCGGGGGACAGCACCTCCTCAGCAGGGACAGGGCTCGGCTCCTTGCGGCCCGAGATGGAGCGACGCAGCAGCTCCGCAGCCTTGGCCTTCTCAGCGGCCATGGCGAATTTGCGCGCCTCCGAGCTGCGTGAGAAGCTCGTGCGGTCCTTCTGCAAGTCGAGATCGATGTTGCCGCGTCCGCCGATCAGGCGGGCCTGGATGGGGATCTTGCGCCAGATCTTCGAGATGAGGTGCTCGGGCGCCTGCTCCATGAAGTCCATGCTCTGCGAGCGGCGGTCGAGGCCGCGCGTGGGGCGCTTTGTGTCCTCGTAGTCGTCGTCGCTGTCCGAGTCCCAGGTGGACGCGTGGGGCTTGACCACCGCCTGTTCCTTCTTCGAGTAGGACGCGCGCAAGGCGCGCTCGCGCTCCTCGGCCTTCTCGCGCTTCCTCTCCTTCCTGGCCGAGGACGAGAAGGTGAGCGACATGCCGCGCTCCTTCTTGATCTTCTTGCCTTCCTTCGCCTTCTCCGGCGTGTAGACGCCCGAGCTGGTCGGTCCCTGGAAGCTGCTCCGGCCCGGGCCGTTGGTAAGGTCGGAGAAGGCGCTCGAGCTGGACTGGTACGAGCTGGGCGCGTTCTTGACCGCGCCGAAGCCCGTCAGACTCTGGCTGGCCGCGCGCACCTTGGTCTTGTGTCCATGTCTCGAGTTGGAGCCGCTGCCAGGGGCCGCCAGCGTGGCGCCCGGCTGCAGCTGCAGCGCCATGTTGCCGTGCACGCCGCTGTTGCGCAGCGTGCGGTTGCCCATGCAGGGCGTGTCTCCGCCGGCGCTGACGCTCCGGGCGCCGAGCTTGGGCGGCTCGAACGAGGCCGTGGAGAAGCCCGACTGCGGGCCATTGTTGCTGCTGCTCGAGTTGCGGCTGGCCCGGCTGCTGCGACTGCTGCGGCTGCTGCTTGGGGCCTGTTCCTTGCTGGCCACCTTGCTACTGCTCTTGCTGCCGCCGAAGAGGCTGCCGCGGCTCGGGGCCGTGTGGAAGGCGTTGTTGAGCGTCTGCGTGAGCGACGGGCGGTTCTCGTCGGCCGGCGCCTTCTTGGCCTTGGGCGTGGCGGCCTGCGCGCCGTAGGGCAGCGACATGACCACGGGCTGCGTGGGCTCGGACGACGCGCGGTGCTTCTCGCGCCAGCCCGACAGGGAGAAGCTCGAGTGGCGGCCCTCCTTCTTCTTGGAGGGCTTCTCGCGCGCGGCCGCCTGCGCCTCGGCCGACAGCTCGGCGTCCAGCCCGGCCGCGCTCATGCGGCCCGTGAACGAGAAGCTGCCGCTGCGGCGCGAGCCGGGGAAGATCTTCTTGATGCCCGAGTAGATGTCCTTGGCCTGCTGCGACATCGTGCTCCGGCCTCCTCTTCACTCACTTACCGGTGGGGGTTGACAGGACGTGAGGGACAAGTAGTGGCCCGGGGGTGGGAGTTTACAGAAGTCACAGAGGGAAAGCGGCCGGCCGCTTCGCTTTGCCAGTCGAGCTCCTGTGCGGGGGTCTGCCTTCGCTTTGCTTTGCTGTGGTCTCGGCCCGCCGTCGCCTTTGCCTGCCTCTTGAGATGTGGGCCAGATTCGCCCCGTGGGCAATTTTGGCGAAGAAAGGGACCAACTCAGTCGTTGACAAGCGCGGTGTGCACAGGCAAAAGGCGGTGAGGCTGCGGGAAGGTCATGACCGCCGTGGTCGCAAAAGCGGGTGCAGCGCCCTGATACAGCTGCTGTTTGGAAGGGAGAAATCAGACGGGAGCATGTCACCGTGTTTTGACAAGCGAGGGTAGGGGAGGTGGCGCCAGCTGGCCCCGTGGCTGGTCGGGCTTTTTACCGTGACGCGCGCGGCACTTGGCTGCGCACGGGGAGCCCAATCTGGCTGATTGGCGGAGCGCCCTCGGGCTCCGAAGGCCGCGACATCTGGCTCCGGGCCAGGGGAGCGAGCACCTCGGGGTGATGCAGCGAGCCGCCACAGTTTGGTTTTCTTGGTGGCGCAAATGTTAGCTCGTCGTCGTCGTGACAATAATTTGGTGTCGTTTCGCGCGTAACGGCCGCGACGATTGACTCGGCGGGGAACGTTCTCACGAGGATGGGGTGCGCACCGTACCGTGGACGCTCGATCAGAGCCGCACTGCAGCAACTGTGTGGAGTTGAGCGCGGACTTAGCCGAAGGGGTCAGCTCGAAAGCGACATTATTATTTTCCTATGCGAAGCCCCCAGTCTGACTCTCGGAGCTTGAAGCGTTGCACGCCGCTGACTATTTTCGGATCGCGTCGTCGATCGCCGCTCGGCTGTCGTTGGCGCCGGTAGCGCTTGCCGCCGTGTTGCAGCGGACGGCCAGGCATTTGGGACTGTGGAGTTGACAGCGCCGCATTGCACACGCCGCGGCTGCCGCCAGCTGATGGATTCCGCCGGTCGCGATGAAAAGCTCCTTGTCGATCGGAGAATTCCGGCGCGCTGCACCCAGTGCGGTGCCAATGGCACCGCATCAAACACTGTCATTGCCATTGCACAAGACTGAAGGTAGCAGATGAGCCAAAATTCGCTCGCTAGACGAGCGCTGCGCTCAACGAACGCATGGCGGGCTCTGCGACACATTGGCACGGCCGTCCTGCAGTGCAAGGTCTCCGGTGCTTGCGTGGGCCCCACGCAGTCTGCGTCTTGCATCGTGCGGCAGCACTTGTGGGTCCGCAGGGGGGAGTGGCTGCTTTACTTCAGCAGGACATGCTCCTTTATGGAGCCCCGCCCATCGTCGTAAGCTGTGTAGCCATCCCATCAAGACTGTACCACTTGAGTCACCCAAAGAAGTGCGCGCTGCTCGAAATTATCATCGCTGTCGAAATTGTCATTGCTACCCCCTTTGGGACTGGTACGAACTGTAGTGCATTATGTATGTACGGTATCCCAGCGATTATCTTATCATGGACACGCTCCTGAATTCGACACGGGAATACGTGCTGGCGAGCGGTTTGAGGTGCTTAGCGCGGCGACTCCCTCGCCAATACTGTAGCAAAGGTCAGGCTGATCACGCCACGAACGGAGATGATAACGTCGAATGAGTGGAGGAAAGAAGCCTATTTGGCTTTGGTTGTTAGTCTCTTCGTAAGGTTTGAACTGCGTTAACAGCTCCGGTTTGTTTGCCAGCTCGCTTGGGGTAGCGGAATCTCTTGACCCAGTTCCACCTTCATGTTCTCAAAAATGAAGCTCCACTCCCGAACGTCCGTGTGTGTGTGTGCACAATTTCGTCCACGACTAGCCACTGCTAGTTGTTCTAGTTGCTGCTTCGGAGCCCACGTAGTTCCTTCGTGAGCAAACTGATTTCGTATCTGCCGGCTATTCCCATGCAACTGAACGTCCACCATTTCCTGTTGAACTCGTCTTCATACTCCGCAGCACTGCTCGTAGAGCTGCAAACTTTGCTGTTGGAGACGGCTACCAATCGGAGGTCGTGTTCTGAATCATAAGCTTAGATGGAGCGTCCATTTGCTGGTATGCATCAATCGGAGCGGTATCTTTCCTCTGGGGACATGGGCTTTCGCATGGCGTCGTTGATGTCTTTTGTTTCAGCACCTGTACAATTGCAGTGCATGTAGACGAACTACTTGCTTATGAAAACAGTGAGTGCTCCACGTTTAAAAAATTATAAACAAACCACACATCCAGGCGACAAAACTTCCTTGCTCAAACCCGCACAGAAACGTCAAGTCAAACAGCACAGTGTATCCATAGCTTGCTGCGCTCACGAGGTCTTTCAGCTAATACTTTACTGGTCGTGGTCTCGATAGGACATTTATATCAAGATTTCATCAAGTGGATGGTGCGCGGCAATCCAAAGCCAGGCCCAGCGCTTTGTCAGCACTCACCCTAAGCAAAACTGTGGCCAATGTTGAGCGGCAATCCACCGCGAGCCTCCTGTGGTGAGCCCAAGCCCGAGCCCTTTCTTCCCCAAAATTGCGTAATTTTGAAAAAGGGTAATTTTGGTGACAAAGGTAATTTCTTTACTGACCATACTTCACTGTGACTACTAAATGCAATACTATCGGTGTAGCAGTTTGTCAAAAGGAAAGCGTAATACTCAACGTAGTCACTTTGCCGTTTTGCCTTCCAGCTCAGTTGAGCTCGAAGACTTGCTCGCTGCGCCACAGCCAGTAGGCCGCCACGTAGGCGTTGATGACCAGGCCCTCGCTGACCGGGCGCAAGCTGGCCAGCTCGAGGTGACGCTGTCCCGCGTCCGTGAACGGGAAGCGAAGGTCGAGGCGCTCCAGGTACTGGCCGACGAGCCTCTCCAAGTGCGTGGAGACCTCCCGACACGGGGATGAAGAAACGGAAAACGACACCGCCGCGCCCGGCGCGGTTCCGATAGTGTTAGCTCAGCTCCGCCATGCGCGCGTGGACATTGCTGCTCTCACAGTAATTGCAGATCCAGAACCCGGGGCGGCTATCCGGCAGGAAGCGCTCACGGACTGCAATTATGCAGAAGTACACGCCTGGATCCGCTTGCAACTCCGCCAGCAGCGGCTCCGGCAGCGGCGGCAGTCTCGGGATGAACGTCGCGCGTGGAGCACGGCGTATGGCTCACTCCCTCGCGCGCACTAGGATGGCGCGCAGATGCGGGATGTGTATCGCCTGCGCCAGCGACACATAGAGGTAGTAGTATCGACGGGGGGTTCGGCGGCCCCCCAGGCACCTCCAGGCCCGTGGCACGTGAGAACGCCCACACCTCGAGTGCATTCTCGGCGACGACTCCGAGTTGCGATCTCGCGCAGACTTACTCTGCTCACTTGCCAATTCACCGGCTCAAGCCAAGAGTGGCACGAAGTGTTGACTGTAGATTTACTACAGAACTTTAGCGGACCTTCAATTTTCAAAGCCCGCGTGGAAAATGTAGCCATTTTCAAAACGCGGTGAGAATTTCGAGCTCACCTTGTTTTGGAGCTACCTCACCGTATTTTGATCGTCATCGTCGCGCTGGTTTTTCTGGGAACATTCCCCAAGCTGAGTTTTCTTCGCCAATTTCCGTGTTTTTTTTCGCCAACCACGGGGGAATACGCTGCTACCACTGAATCTTGAGGGCCAAATCGATGTGATTTTTGTCAAACTTACAGTAATTTTACCAAATCTGGCCTCAATGCTTAGACAGGGGTAGGGGTTTAGGGAGGGGGTGAAATCCGATCCGTAAAATCCCCCCAAATGATCGCTTCGATCCTCTAGATCACGCCCAATGCGCGTGCTTTCAGCTCCATGACCGCGCTCGGCCTTCCAAGAGCATTCCGATCAGCCCTCATACGCCAGAATCGGCCTAGTTTTGGAGAAATTAGAGGTTTTAGGCCTTTTGACACGCTTCAGTTTCAGGATTTGAGTGCCATGACACCCGTCCTCGGCAGACGAGCCTAAATTCGGTGGTAGCAACACCAGCCCGACGGGGGGGGGGGCGAATGTGGCCCACATCTCAAGAGGCAGGCAAGGCGAGCGCAAACGCAGAAGAAACTGCCGCTTTCCCTGTTTGGCTTCTGTATGCACTCCTGTCACACACCTATCAGTCAGTTCAAAGCGCCCCAGTGAGTATGTGCGTCCATGCAGAACCGGTAAGTGAAGTGGAGTCAGGATGCCATGTACTTAACGAGAGCTATGCATAGGCTGGGATAGCTAAAGAACTTAGTGTGAGCATCTTCGCCGCGCCGTCACTATCGCTATCGCCACAGCAAAAATTCAACGAGGAACAAAGTCACGAAGAAGCTCTACGACTTACCTGTTACCTACAGTATTTGTGGCATGTAAATCTGCGTTTCCATTACAACGCATCTCCTGCGCCTGCTTCGCAGCCGTAGCATCTGCAACATTGACTTAGACCCTATCAGGATTTTTTATATTTATGAGCTTTTCGCCCGTCGACCATTATCATCTTCAGCAGACGCAAACCTTTATTGCTTTATTCTTTTAGTAGCCACCTCAGCAACGTAGTACTAGATGCACTTGAGTGCGAGGGGGTTAAAGAGGTGACGGATCGTTCGGGGCGTACTTGGTGCGTGTGTTCGGCTGGAGGTGCACCAATGAAAACGCGCGTTGTACTTCCTCACCTGTCAAGTAATATTAATACATGTAGTTGAATTTGCATCACTTACGGCCTCGCGGCACCGCTGATCACCGATGTGTGGACTGGTCCGTCGCTTTCGAGCTGTTTTCCATCCATCTCGAGCTTGTCTCGGATTTGAGATGGAGAGCATAGACAATCAGTTAACTTCAGTTCAGTTTTCCGGCTTCAGTATTACCGCCTTCAGTTACCGAGTGCCGCCTAATTAATCTGTGTTGGGCTGGCCACAGCACTCCCTCCGGGGTTCCCAGAACCCTAAGAATCAATCAGAACGACGCGCTGTCCGTGTGTAGATCACGTGAATTCCTATTGGCTGAAATTGCTGCTGAGCGCAGCGAAGGCGGCACACTGTACCTTTTGCTGCCCCCACGGCCGCCGTAGCAATAGACAGCCCCGAGCGCAGTCGCCCCTCATACGATATTGCGGGGCCGCAGGACCCGCCCCGGCCTCTGTAATACTAACCTGACATTGAGAGTAGTGCAGCGAGCCGACGAGGCGAGCGGAACGGGTCCGCCACTGCCGCAGCGAAGCGTAGGCAGCCTGCTCGAATAGCGGAGCGAGCATAGCGAGTGAAGCGCCAACTAACTAAAAATCTCCGCCGCGTAGCGGCGGCGCTCGGCTAGTTAAGTACAGTACTCATCAAGATTCCCGCAATGGTACTGTATGCATGTACCTACTCTGATGTACCCTGCATTTCAATTTTACAAAACACGTTGGTAATTGTATTGCGTATTTTCAGTACATTTGCTATGTGTATTTACAAAAATTCATGCGTACCTTGTGGATACTTAACCGAAATACATGAATCCATCACCATGATTGTCGGGCGCGGGGCCTGGTACAGTACATGTAGTCCTCGCCTCGCTGATATTCATTGTGAAGCTCTGCCTGGATGTTGCCTCCGTCAACGCTGATAGTGGTTTCGGATATGTGTGGGCATACTGGCGCGTCACAGGTTCGGTGATATCGGGGGCGCCACCAAAGTCGGCCTAGGTATTATAAGACGGCTGCAAATGGGCACGAGCCTTGTAGATTCAAAAGTCGAATGGTCACCGGAAGCAAACAAGCATCTACTACAACAACGAGGCAAGCGCATTGCTGGAGTTGACTTCGGGGAACCATTGTATTAGAGCTGCAAGCCATGAAAATATAAATCGCAACCAATTTGTGCCTTCAGTTGGTGTTGAAGTCTGTCAAATCGCCTCGCTGTCGCGTGAATCGCAGACCCCCGCGAACTTCTTTCGGAACGACAACTTGGAGCTGCACCGATTCTCTTGACAAGCTCGGGTTCCTGATCTCACCTAGAAGTGCAACCGCTGGGCTTGTCGCCGCGATCCCAACTGTGGACGAGCTGCTGCTAATAGCCAGGCAGATGAACGCAGGTGTGTACTTCCGCATTCTGAGGCTTGACATTACCGGACACACGAGTATCACGAGCACCTGTAGCAGAGACAAGCGCAGATAACGGCGGGCCCTGAGCGCAGCGACCGACATATCTTACATTCGCTTGTTCGTTTGCTTTTTTTAGTTCTTTGACAACTTGATAACAGATTACTACAACACGTTCAAATGCTTTTCAGTTGTCGGTGTCTCCTCAGATGTAGCCACTTAGCACTGATCTATCGCCTTGTTAGATTGGCAAGTCAAACCTACTCACTTGACAAGCTGCTGGGACCCTGGAGCTTTGCGTTCTTTAATGTCTTCTTGAATACCTGCTTCTCTGTATCCATCCTGCTGCGTCCTGTAAACCTGCAGCTTGCCCACGCATCAACAAAATCGCATCCCAAGCTGACGCTGCCGACACATTGGAGAAAGAATGCCTCGTATATTATGGCGTAGGAAGTCGCTCGCGTCCCCTGTCCTGTCCGACGGCACCATGCCGTGCCGTCAAATAGAAGAATTCCTGTCTCCCTCCCGCGAATCCGCTAGAAAGAGGCTCTCGAAGGGACGCAGCGTGCTCCCAGTCCTGAACAGAGCATCAGCTACTACCGTAGCTGCGCGCAGGCTGCAGTGAGCTTAGCGGCGCAGCAGCTTACGAGCGCTTGGGGGCGAAGCGACGCGGGGGCGGGGCACGGCTTTTACGGGCCTCCACCGAGCGACCACGCACAATGCGCTGGTGGATGGCGGCTTCCACGCAGTAGTAGTTCTTGATGTAGATCTTGGGCAGAGCGTACGACTCGTACACCGAAGCCTCCTTCAGATCACGGATGGCCGACTGGTCCACGATGTTGCTGTAGTGGTATGAGAACAGGGGGAGATACAACAGCAGGGTCAGTGTCCGATTGCTCTGGTCTGTTGCCCAATACAGCACTTCAAGCGTATTATAATACGCCCGAAGAGTGCGTCATGGGTCTTGTCTGCTGCTTGTGGCTGTTGCTGCTGCTGAGCTGCGACGTACCGCACGACGAAGCGCTTGATGGCCTTGTCCTTGGGGATGAGCTTGGCCGTGGACACGCAGTGCACGCGCTTCACGTGGCCGCGGCCCTTCTTGTTACGTCCGTGGTTGCGGCGCTTCACAGTCATGTTTCCTCCGTTCTTTTCTCCAAATTGACTGCTCACTAGCGCGGGCTCAGCGGGATTGAGCCGCCCGACCACGAAGCGCTGGCCGCCACCAACTTGCAAACACAGCTGATTGGCCCCTTTTCGACGAATCAGATCGGGAAGCAGGTCGCCGGGCTCTAGTGACATGTGGCATTGAAACGAGGGAGCCAATGACAAACTCTCAGGGTGGCCATTCTGAACGCTAAGTTTACGAGTATGACATGGTGGGCTTGCATGCCTGCCTGCCTGTCTGCCTGCTGCCAGTGATGCACGCAATGAGAACGCTATGGACGCAAGATGAAAAGGTCTAAAGGCTGGTGGTATGTCTGCGTCTGCACTGCAAACCCATCAATACATGTTATTTTTTTCTCTGAGGCTGGCAAGTATAGTCGTGCTGAGACGTAGCGCGTCGACCGCGGCAGCGCCTTCTTCACCGAGTGCGCGCGCACTGGCGCCCTGTGCTTAGAATCGCTGCCGATGCTCGGCCGACCTCGCTTGCAGATGGACATGTTTACTTCAGGTGCTTCATGATCTGCGGCACGGACTGCAGCAATAGCAGCACAAATAATAGAACCGTCAGCACGCTACTCACCACCTCCACTACAGACAAAGCTGATGATAGCCATGAGAGTGAGCATGGCTCCGCTACGTACGCATTGGTCGATGCAGTGCAGGAAGTCGAAGTACTGGCCGTCGCACGAGCCGACGCCCTTGGCCTTGACGCGATCCAGGCAGGCGCGGTAGGCGCTGTAGGACTGCTCGCACTTGGGCTCGCAGGCCTTGCGGATCGCGGGCATCACGTCGACAGGCTCCTCGTCAGACTGCAAACACCACGAACGAACACATTGGTCAGACCATCATTGTTGTCGACGGCGGCGGACGCTTGCACACACACACACAGCACGCACCATTTTCAGCGGCTTCGGGTCTCTAATGCAAGCGACGTGATGCGAGGAAATGAACGGCTGCGTGTGCGGTCCGGGGGGCCCGCTCGGCTGAAGTAAGCGCAGGCGGGAGTGGAAGTGCCCTCGGTATGCGCTAGCAAAGGCTTATGGAAAAGCAAGAACAACCACGATTGCTGCATTCATCCTCAATAAGTACAGCTGGGTATGCCATTGGGCAGTATTCCTGTGCGCCGCAGGTTTTTGTTGAGGCGCTTCCTGCTACTTCACGTGGGGTGCACCACCCGAACGGCGTCAAATTAGGCCAATCGCCGCTGAAATCGCATCTGATTGGCAGAAAGTCGGTCGGTAGAGTTACTTCACTGTTGGACCACCCGAACGTGCGGCCGCGGGGGCCTCGTGGCCTCAAAAGCTCTCGCGTCTCTCCTGTCGTGCCTGTGGCCATGCTCTCTCGCAGTGTGCGCGCTCTCCGCGCTGGTGCCGCGCAGCTCAGCGCGCGTCCGGCTGCCGCCTCGACCACCGCGGGCTTCCACTCCTCGCGCGCCGCCGGAAGCAGCTTCGTGCAGGTACTGGGAGCCGAGATACATCAATCATTATTTGTGTCATTCCTTGGCCGCTAATTCTGACGCTTAATTCGTTGTGCGTTGCCGCTAATTGCGCGAACCTGCAGCACCGCGACACGGAGGACAACAATGCCGACACGCCCTTCGACTTCACGCCGGAGAACTACGAGCGCGTGCACGCCATCCTGGACCGCTACCCGGAGAACTACAAGACGTCGGCCATCATCCCGCTGCTGGACCTGGCGCAGCGCCAGCACGGCGGCTGGCTGCCACTCGCCGCCATGAACAAGGTGGCGCGCATTGTGGACGCCAAGCCCATCCAGGTGTACGAGGTGGCCACGTTCTACACCATGTTCAACCGCGAGAAGGTGGGCAAGTACTTCATCCAGCTCTGCGGCACCACGCCCTGCATGATCTGCGGCTCGGAGGAGATCAAGAAGACCATCGAGAACCACCTCGGCATCAAGGAAGGAGGTTCGTGATGCAGCTGCAATTGCAATTGCAAGTTGCAGTGATTATCAGACTGACAATTTTTTTATTTTTTATTGCGGCGGTACAGAGACGACGAAGGACGGCCAGTTCACGCTGCGGGAGGTGGAGTGCCTCGGCGCGTGCTCTAACGCCCCTATGGTGCAGATTAACGACGATTTCTACGTGAGTTACCTTCAATTATTGCAGTTGTGGTTGAGGGGCGGAATAATTTCGCTGACGTGGTTGTATATTTTTTTCTTCTTCAGGAAAACTTGACCCCCGAGACGACGCGCGAGCTGCTGGACGCCTGCCAAAAGGATGCCCCGCCTCCGATGAACAAGTGGGGCAGCTTGCCCATGAACGGTCAGCTGTCGTGCGAGGGCCCGCAGGGCAAGACCACGCTTACGTGGGAGAAGACGCCCGGCCCGGGCTTCCGGATGCGCCCGGACGACGAGCTTAAGCCCAAGGTTAACCCCAAGGACATCAAGGACGCCATGCTGTACTAGGCACGTAGCGGCGTGGCTCTGGGATAATTAACAGGGCAGGGAGCGGGTGTTGCCCTTCGACGTAGCACTCACGACCGACCGACAGGTGGACGCATCCATGTATTTTGGCGGATCTTGCTGGGCTCTGCAACGAACGAAGGACCTTCAACGCTCGCACAATAACAGACAAAAAGAATAAACTGTGAATGCTCAAAGACTCGATAGGGTTGACAACGGTACAAGTCAATTGAGAGGTGCTTGGAATCAGCTGCGATGGTAATGTGCCGCCAAAAGAAACGAGCACCGTCGAGACTAGCAAGGTGTTGCTAGCAGCAACACCCCAACGTTGTTCGCCATGCGTGAAGCCAACGCACTAATAGTCAAATGCACGAAGTCTTGATCGGTGTCGGGGTTGTGCACGCCATTTAACTCACACGGTTTGTAAGCTAAGCTTAGCCCACAAACTGAAGCCATTTTACTCAGTATAAGTAGCCTGCCAATTCCATTAACTCTCGCTTCGTTGAAGCTACCGTCTCAAAAATACGTCTTGACCTTGGCGGCAATGTCGTCAACGCGTGCATTCTGCGTGAAGAAGTCGAGGAACTCGCCATCCGGGCCGACAAGATACATCACAATAGAGTGATCCACCAGGTAGTCGTCGTCGTCGTCCTCGTTCTCATCAGCCTTGGAGAAGTACACGCGGTAGGCCTTGGTGATGTCGGCCACTTGGTCGCGCGTGCCCGTGAGCATCTTGAACTTGGGGTGGAAGTCGGCCTTGTAGGCCTGCATCTGCTCGACCGTGTCGCGTCTGGGGTCCACCGTCACGAACAGCGGCACCACCTCAGAACACTTCTCCACCTCGAGCTTGTCCAGCACGTCGCCGATGCGCACCAGCTCATTGGGGCAGATGTCGGGGCAGTGCGTGAAGCCGAAGTACAGCAGCGAGTACTTGCCGCGGAACGACGCGTCCGTCACAGCACGTCTGGTGTCACAGTCCACGAGCGTCCATGGTCCACCCAGCAGTGGCTTGCCCACCGACGTCACCTTGGACGTGGCTGCCAACAGAGCAAGCACATGACGTTAGTGACCACTATTGGCAGTAGCAGAAGATCAGCAACTTTGAGACGCACACTGGGTCTGCAGCCGGTCCTTCTCCGAGTAGTAATAGTACACGACACCGCTGCCCACGACACCCGCGAGTGCAAGGCCGCTCCAAGTCACCGGCTGCAATACAAATTATGTGTCAATCAATTTCTAGACGAAAAACGCAAGTTATTCCGGTTTAGAGGGCGCAGAGCTGCCACGCACCCCGAAGTTGTTGGCCCGCGTGCCCGGCACGGGAGCGTCCGAGAACATGCGGCGCGCAGTCTGCACGCCTGCCGCGGGGCCGCGCCGCAGCGCCTTCGTCGCCAGCATCGCTCGACTCGCCATCTTCTTCTGCTTCGTATCGAGAGTGGCGAGACACGCAGCGATTGTGAGGCCGAAGAGCTACGACGCGCTCATTGGCTGAAAGTCCGGAGCGATTAGAGGCGCTGATTAGAGGACTTCAACTTACTGTCCTCGGCCGATGGACGTCGTCCCCTTCATCTCCACGTTGGCTTGTCAGCTCGATCACTGCACAAGTGAGGCTTGACATAGTTAGCCTTTGAAGTCGGCATGCCGTGCTCCATCGATTTGCAAACACCTCGAGGATGAACAGTCGAGTCGACTGCATAGGGGGCGGAGGCGGCAGTCGCAATTGCTAGGCGGGGGACCAGTGTCATCATACATGTAATTCATGCATGCTACGCCCTCTACTGTAGCGGAGAATCTCCACGGAGGGTCTCTGAGCAAGGCAAAGGCAAGTTGTGCCCCTCGCCATCTATTGGTCAAAACTCCTCACCCCCTGCTGCGGGCCGCGTAGCTCTTCACACCCGCGTGCCATCTCCCCCTGCGCTACGGCGCCATCCCTTCTCGTCCTCTTCAACCCCTCAAGCCGCGCCCAGCAGCTTATGGGACTATGGCAAGCGTGTGCTCGATCGGCAGGACGATTTCCAGCGCTTCGAGAGCAGGGTTGTAAAAGTTGGGTTTATGCTTAATGAAACAATGGAATATTGGCACCCTACGCCAGCATATTTGGGTTTTACAGGTTTTATTTTTGCCTATAATGTAGAGTTACAGTATAAATATTAGGACAAACAGTCCAATAGTTGGCCAAGGATAAATTATTTTATGATTTTGAGACCAAACGAGCCAATCAGCAGCCTATATTGTCGAATTTTATGAAAAATAGAAAACCCACCTACTTTCACCCAATCCCCCAGATAGATTCAATCACCCGCCCAACTTTGTCGAAAAAGGTGGTTTTTTAACAACACTGTACGAGAGCAGTGGCGTGTTCCATCCTGCCAACTCAACGGCCAAGAACTACACGCTCTTCTGCCTGCTGCAGCGCCCCAGCAACACGAAGGTCGACGCGGCGGAATTCCTTCAAGGAGCCCAAGTCGCGGTCGAGCGCGTCTTCAATGGGATGTTCTCGTCGGAGTTGATGGGTCCCCTCTCTGGGAAGAAGAGTGTCAAGCCGGCAATAGCCGACGAGATGGAGGCCATGTTCACGCCGGGGGCCTACCAGACATGGCTCTTACCGAAGCTGTGGACCAACAAAGGCACTCGCATTCGAGGATCCAAGATAAAGACATTCACGGGGGTCCATTTGACTGGAGTGAGCATGAAGCGGATTACGCTGGCGTCCTACAAGATCTCTGACCTACAACAGAGAGCGCTAGGGATGGATTTGGCGAAGTTGCAAAAGGTGGGGCCGCTGGAGAACTATAAGCCGGAGGAACTCATGAAGGAGTTCGACGGCGAGACCATGGCGGAATTCGTTGAAAAGGAGATGTCGGCAATTACCGCCGAGGACAAGGCGACGAAGGTTGAGCGCCTACGACTGAGCGTGGCGTTCAACTTCTTACTCTCCGTTGATGGTGACAGCTCGGAGGAGGCACGTGGAGGAAGCACGCATTCCAATGTGGTGCGCTTTAAGTCCCTGGTGGCCCACCCCGACGAAGTGTACTGCGCGCCAGCTCTCCCAGCTCTTGCAGCTCCCCAAGGACATGAAGGGGTTCGCGCGCGCCAGCTCTCCCAGCTCTTGCAGCTCCCCAAGGACATGAAGGGTTTCAAAAGTCGCCTGGACAGCCGCCGGGACGAGTACCGCCGCTGTCTGGACCGTGGCGCATCATTTCCTGCGAGTATATGCCGCTCATGACGCGCTCGCATGCACCCTTCGCCCCTTCGATAAAGTCCACGAGGTCGATCTCCGTGTCGGCAGGTAGCTTGGCCTTACCAAAGAGTTCAACCGTCTCGGCCGAGACCTCTTTGGTCTCGAATAGACTACGTCGCAGAGAGCTAGGCCGGCAATCGCTGACGAGATGGAGGCCGTCTTCATGCCGATGACCTTCCAGCGTGACTTCATGGACCTGGTGTGGGCTGCTGACCGAGCCGTGCAGAGCGTAGGCGCTCGGATCTCAGGCTCAAAGGTGAAGTTCACTTGAGTGACGTGGAATCGGGCCAGCTCATGCAGATCGATTACACGATCGATCAAACACGCGATGAACTGGCGGCACCGGAATTTGCCAAGTTGCAGAGGCACAAGCGATTGAAGCGCATGGGTGCGGACCAACTCCCTGAGTTCGTCGACCCGAAGTCATTGGAGCAACGCATTGAAAAGGCGATGGAGATGACCCCCGAGGAAGCTACGACGATGGTTGAACGTCTACGACTGAGCGTTACGTTCAACGTTGCTCTCTCAGTGAAGTGCGTTGAGGATGACGGCGAGGAGACTGTGGACGAAGGTGAGAGCACGTTTGTCCTGTGCTTTGAGTCGCTTGCGACGCGCCCCGACGACGTGGACTGGCGAATCCAGAAGATGGAGATGATACACCCAGAGTAGGCTCGATGCAAGGTACCACGTGGAAAAATGGCAATCTACAGCGGCGAGTTTCCCACAGACGTCCGAAAATACAGTACTATATTGAATTGAGTACGAGATCAGACCGTAATAAAAATTACAATTCAGCAAGGAGAAATAATAAAAATTGCCGCAATATAAATATACTGCTCTTCAATTTGAGGCATTTCTACAGAAGAAATAAACCACTTTCTGTGCGTCATATGATTACAGAGTCGTTTAGAAACACTTTTTTGGGTGTTGCTTTAGAAAACTTTGCATGGTGGATGCTTAAACAACCTACCGGTAGTAATACATATATCTGGATCTTGCTATATATCGTTAATCTGGTGTAGTAGATTCCAGGGTTTCACCTTGGTATCACCGCAGTTAAGGGATCGATAGCATGTCGCGGCGGTGACCCATGCCAGCCACAGGTAATGGGTTCACCGCATCATGACCACACAGACACACTTCATAGTGTGTGCACCTGATATGAGGTTACAGACTAAGCATTTTGTATGATCAGCTGCTTCGCGGACCCACTTCGTTTTTTCTCCTACAATTGCCTCAAAAGGCGTACACACTATATCAAAACATAAAGCTCAAGTCCCTAGTGGATTGCCATCCGCTGCCGTCCCCTGATGTGATGTGTTCGGCGGGATTCACTACATCTGGACGTCATTGATGTTCTGACTTGCGTACATATTGGTTTCTAAAGATGTTGATTGCCCATTATGGCTTTTACTGCACCTTAATCGTTGCGTATGTAGACCTAACTATCATTTTATGAGACGACTTCGTTTCAGATTGAGCTGCTTTCACACGCGAATGTTTTGGTGCCTTCTTCTTGGGTTTCTTCGGGTTGGTCGTGTCTCCCGTCGACACAGGAGGGGTCGCAAGCCCAAATTGAATTAAGTGCCGGGGACCCAGACGTTGACCATTCTCGAACGTTTGTTCTCCACCATACTTAAGCCACTCACGCAAAATAGCAAGACGTTCGAGCACACTCGTGCTGGTTGTGGGAAGCAGATCACGGACAATACGATCCAGTAATTGAAAATTATCGTTGATCAGAAACCCAGTGACGTAATTTACTGCCTTCCGAGGTTGTGACGTACCATGCGTCAAGATGGCGGCTAGTCGATAATATGTTCGTGCGGACACCATATTTCCAGGGGTTCGTTGATGCCCATACTGGTCAAACATTACATTTATCGGTTTGCGCCTCTGTATGGCAGGAACAGATACCCGCTCCCCGTCCAACTTGACCGATTTCGTCCCCCAAGACAGAAAGGCAACGTTTTCCATGGAGAGGATGTGGCGGACAGCTTCAGACACAACTGCTGGGTCGAATCTTTGCCTTGTGACTTTACTCACTTCCAGCGCACCTTCATCTAAAAGGATCTGAAAATCTCTGCAACCCGCTAAGTGAGCTTTCCGTCCAAGCAAACTCCATTAACATCGATGCAAATATCTTGGAGGCTCTTCAACGAATATGAACTGCACAGTAGCGCGCGCACACTTCGGTATTCGAGAGAGCCCTTCCGCGTTTTCGCTAATACGTTCGCAGACGTCGTCACCAATGTATCGTTAGCACACGTCACCGGGTTTAACCAGGTCGCAAAGATCTCCAAAAACGCACTAGATGCACTGGTGCCGCACAACGTTTCTGAAATACATTGCAGTAATCGAAACACGAGATTGGACGCCACTGTGCGCTGATATGCTGCATCAGTCGTGCTGGAGTCCGAATCCGTCCAGAATTCCGCTGTTGATCTTGTTTTCTTTGACGGTAGATGCTTTAGAAAGGATTTCATTTCACTTTACGGAAGAGAAAAAACTTGAGGAGTGCTCGAATTGTTGGAAGTGTCCGGCGGACAGGGGTTGGCGTTAATGTCGGCGGACTCACAAACATTCGTTCGACTTGAATCCGATTCGAACGTCGCAAACGCGGGGATTTGAAGGGGCTCGAATTATTATAACTTTGACCTTGCTCGCAACTGTTATCAGCGGTGGCATCGATTTCAGCAGCATGTATCACCTCGCCGTACGACTTTGGGACACTCTCGGCTTCGTTATTACCAGCGACATCGATAAGCAAGTCTCTATCGGCATTTTCCGTCTGCATACCAAAGCTTAGTGAGCGTGACGCCTGTGATTTCCGTTCCGCTGTCGCCACGAACGCTTCAATTGCTACTGGAGTACTAACCCCAATTCGAGGCTCTATTGCGACAGATTTTCCACGCTCGACACGGGGGCTGCATGCGTGTGGCAGGTCGTGCTCGATCACCGAGCCATCACATCTACTCCACTTCAAACCAGTATTATCGGATTCCCCACGTTCATACGCCACACAACACAGCTCACTACCAGTATCATTACCCATATCCCGTAAAATCTGGTGCGAAACCTGCAGCGAAGACCACTCTTCAGCTTTACCTTCTTTTCGTGCGCCGCATGCAGCATCCTTCTGGTGCTGAGGCTTCCGAGATTGTGCATTGCCAGCACTACAAACCACAGCAAAGTCGATAGGACGTCCTGCATAGCATTTGATGTCTGCTACAAGGTTATCACACACGTCTCCTCCCATGTGATCGACGCTGCTCTTCACCGCTTTCTCCGACGAGCACCCCTTTTGAACATCTTGGTCAGCTTGAAAGAGGTCCGAATTCTCGCGTGCTGACTGCTTCCTGCTGTCGGTACATGCTGCAGCAAAGCTTCCTCCACCCCCAGCATTGCGTTCCGTGCGGTTAGCGCCAAAATCATTCGCGCGGGCAGCCCTCTGAACGCGCGATCTGTAGCCAGCGAGTACAGCAGCCTTGATTGAATCCGCTATCAGGTAAGAATAGTGATCTGGACCATTTTTGCGGCGTTCCTGGATCTGTGCTTGGGATGCTCGCCGTGCACGAGCTTCCGCACCAGCTTTGGCGGCATTAGCAATTGCAATTGCCACGTTGACGCCTTTGCTCTGGTAATTACAAAGAGAGAGAAGTAAAGAGTGTGTTCATTAGCTCAAGGTTAGACCTCAAAAAGTATAATTCAGTAAGCTATTAGTGATTGAGATCTTTTAGCGTACCGGATAGTCGGGGTTATTGCAGCTTCGGAGATGCTTTGATCCAGCTGCAGCCGCAGCAGCATCAGCCTGCAAGCTCTCATTTTCCTTGTTACATATTACACCTTGCCCTAGAGACTGCTTGCGCTTTCTGGTGCGCACTAACAGCAAACCATCTTCTTCTTTATCGGTCGCCATTGTGCAGATGCCCAGATGAGGGAGCTGAAAGCAGCGGCGACCGTTCAGTTATGATAAACTTGCAATAAACCTCTGACTACATTCCAGTATGGCGTGCTGATCTTGTGTTTTTTCATTGCACCTGGAGCACAAGCACACTTCTTCCCAAACTTTCTAATTACCTATCCATGACCAACCAGAGCTTGTTGCCAAAGTTTCAGGTCGATCCGAGCCATATTAATAAAAAAGAATTTATGATGTGCACGGAAAAATGTTCCCTGTTCGAGGCGACGCCTGTTAAAGACGATTAGCACTTTATATAATGCTGAGTACAGGAACAGCGAAGCCCATACTTTGATTGTTATCTGGGTTTATAGCCTGATTACAGGCTGTACTTACTAAAAGGCATAGCCTACGAACCAAATAACAGAAACTATGGTAGTGCGATAATGTGATAAAACAACACGTATACAGACTTTACTGACCACACCGTCGATAGCAACATCTACGCCGCCACAGCAAGTAGTAGCTCATGTCAATGCTTATTTCAACTACGTTTACTACAATGGCGACTTTGTAGTCGTAGTAACTAGTTGTGTGTATGTGGACCCGGTTTACAACAGAGTACCGTGCAAAAAGAATGTTTCACCTTGCATCATGCAACTACTTATTGGTACTCTGAAGTAGGTCTAAATGGTGGAGTATTTTACGAACCTGATACCAGAAACGTCGCTCTACTGATAGTACCTTCAACCAAAAAACATGTCACAATCGAAACTAAAAACATATGAAGTAGATTAAAGGATAACCTTTTTTATGGGTCAACCGCTGCGCAGGTCAAATTTGGGTCAACGCTTTTTAACGCTTTTTTGGGTCAAAAATGGAACAACGGAGGTCAACACGCTTTTTTGGTCAACTTTGGGTCAACAATTATCACCCCAAGAGGTTACACGATTAATCATAAATGCAAGAGATTGAAAAAAAAAAATTTAAATTTTAAATATTGTTGGGGATGTGGTGTAAAATTTAGTGTTGTGTAATTGCATGAGTGCTGTGTTCTTGCTAGATATTTGTATTCGGTTGTCGTCGTGTGCGGTTGAAGTTTGAAGTTGTTGTATTTTTGTTGGAAAATATTGTGTGTGGTTGAAGCTCTGGCGTTGTTACATATTTGTTGGTCAATTGTGTTTTTATTGAAGTTTTCATATTGTATTTGTTAGTATGTGGCGTGCGTGTTAGGCTGTTGGCATGTGTATGATACACTGTTGTTAGGTTGTTAATTTGTAAGACCGTAGTGTCGAGCATCGCTATCTCGTCAGTGACACAATTAGCCGCAGAGTTTGTTGTCTCATCGCGGGTGCTATGTTGTCAATAGTAGTGGTTGCTCCAACCAGATCGTAACAGTCATTTTGATTCTTTCAAGTTCTAAGCACCAAGCCCCCCCCCCTTCCCGTCCCCACGACACCCACGCACCATGGCCTCAGGCTACATCTCCGACGAATCGATGTCCAACTCGCTCCTGTCCGATGGATCCGAGCTCAGCGACACCGAGACGGTCCTACTGCTCAGCCAATGCTCGGGCTCGGAACACGAAGAGAGTGATGGTACCCAACTTGAAGTCGCGCCGCCAACCGAAGATGCCCACTCTACTGGCCTCGCCGTCGCCAATTCTGGATCAGGGACTATCCATTATGGTGGCTACTCGTACGCCCAATACCACTTCAACCCTCGAACCGACACCAGGCACTATCGATGCAGCGCCTACCACCGGACAAATTGCAAGGCGAAACTCTACGTGAGTGACCGTGGCGCTGTGGAAGATGGAGAGCACGAGCCCGCTTATGTACGTGGTTTCCGTCGAACCCCGATTGGACCGGCCCTTGGTGTTACCGACCGAAAAGAGGAGATGGTGCTGATGACGGACACAACCCGTATTTGATATGTCACGCTGACTCCATCGGAGGCGTGGCGAACGATCCGGGACCATTTTTACGACAACGTCAACGAAATAGTCCGGGGCGCGACCAAAAAGCAAGTTTTGGGTCGACTCTATCGCACGCGATCGAAGCTTTTTGGGCGAGAGATTTTTAAACGTCTGGAGCGCGAGCCCCTATGCGACGTCAAGGAGAGCGCTGGATTGAAGTTTTTCCAGTTCCATGTGACCTACTACGAAGACGAAGTGCAGCACCGACTGATTGGCTGGGCCCATCCGCGGCTGGTGGATCGTATGAAGCAGCGGCAAAGTTCAGTCTTCACCGACGCAACTTATCGTTGTGTGCCTGCTCCATTCTACCAATTGGTGATTGTGATGCTCTACGATTCAATTTCGGAGCTCTACTTGCCAATTTGGTACGTCCTCACCACCGGGAAAACGGCTCAAGTGTACGACCGCCTGTTTCACAACATTTACGTCGGGGCCAAGCAGAAAATTTTTCCGGCGCATGTTGTGTGCGACTTTGAGTTCAAAATCAAATCTGTCCAGAACCAGTTTCCAGAATCCAGAATTGTGGGATGCCTGTTCCACTTCAAGCAAGCGCTGCGCCGAGAGATGTTGAAGTTGATGATCACGGAAGATGAAGTGGACTTGGCCATGCGGGAGGGCTGCATTGACCGCTTGACAATTATCCGACGTATGGATATTACCCTTCGAGGCGTCCATGATGTCCAATCCATGATTAAGCGCGACTGTGAAGCCAGGGGTATTGGTTACTCCAGGCCCAACTGGAAGAAGTTCTGGAAGTACTTCAAGAAAACTTGGATCAACAAGTTCAAGCCGGAGTGGTGGAACATTAACAGCGTGAGCGAAGACATCGTAAATCGGACCAACAACCCGCTTGAACGCTATAACCGCACTCTAATTTCGGTGTTCAATGGTGGGCACCCAGACATCACGCGCTTCATCAGTGTCATCGAGGAGCAAAGTCGCGAGAACGTGCGCCTGTTGGATGACATCTCCAACCGCAGAGCCCGTGCCCCCAATCATGCCGCCCCCCAACGCGCTCCAGGCTTCGAGTCTGACTCAGATTGTGATTCAATTAGGTCTATGTCACCCGAATATTAGGAGCCACAGATTCTGCATATTTGAATTTAGTGTAATCAACAGATTCTGCAACCTCTAAATTCAGATAATACACCTGCCTAAAAATTTAGGACTACATTTTGTACTATTATAAAATTTGGCTTGGTCTCAGTAAACTACAATATTGGCCCAAATTTTAATAAAGTAGATCGCTCTAGCCAACCGAGAACGTTTGTGGCCAGGGAATGATCCCATTTACCGTCCGCCAAACGACTTAATGACCAAATTATCACGGTGGGTTATTACTCGAGAGAATCCAGTCAGCCTGATCCATAGGAGACTCACTCTCACTTAGTGAGAGTGAGTGAGAGTGTGACGGACGACCCAAATCCTTGGTTATGTCTCAGATCTGACGGAGGATTTCCACATGACACTTACCTCAAGCATCGAGCTCCTCTACAGGGGTGGGATTTGAACCAACGCCATCTGATAGACACCTGCCTACATGTATCTAGGTGCACGCCCTATGGGCATACTAAAATTTTACTGCAAAACAGTTGATACTTATACACATATCTGTATAAACAAATAGTATTATTTTTTAATATATATAGATTATGGGAGGTACAAGTACTATATTAACATGTCCAGCGGCTATGGGTCAAACATGGTCAAAAATGGAACAATTTTAACCCAAAAAAGGCGTTGACCCAAATTTGACCTGCGCAGCGGTTGACCCATAAAGAATCGCTCCTTCCTCAGGAGCGATTCCTTCCTAAGGAGCCATTCTTGAGGTAAGTGTCATGTGGAAATCCTCCGTCAGATCTGAGACATAACCAAGGATTTGGGTCGTCCGTCACACTCTCACTCACTCTCACTAAGTGAGAGTGAGTCTCCTATGGATCAGGCTGACTGGATTCTCTCGAGTAATAACCCACCGTGATAATTTGGTCATTAAGTCGTTTGGCGGACGGTAAATGGGATCATTCCCTGGCCACAAACGTTCTCGGTTGGCTAGAGCGATCTACTTTATTAAAATTTGGGCCAATATTGTAGTTTACTGAGACCAAGCCAAATTTTATAATAGTACAAAATGTAGTCCTAAATTTTTAGGCAGGTGTATTATCTGAATTTAGAGGTTGCAGAATCTGTTGATTACACTAAATTCAAATATGCAGAATCTGTGGCTCCTAATATTCGGGTGACATAGACCTAATTGAATCACAATCTGAGTCAGACTCGAAGCCTGGAGCGCGTTGGGGGGCGGCATGATTGGGGGCACGGGCTCTGCGGTTGGAGATGTCATCCAACAGGCGCACGTTCTCGCGACTTTGCTCCTCGATGACACTGATGAAGCGCGTGATGTCTGGGTGCCCACCATTGAACACCGAAATTAGAGTGCGGTTATAGCGTTCAAGCGGGTTGTTGGTCCGATTTACGATGTCTTCGCTCACGCTGTTAATGTTCCACCACTCCGGCTTGAACTTGTTGATCCAAGTTTTCTTGAAGTACTTCCAGAACTTCTTCCAGTTGGGCCTGGAGTAACCAATACCCCTGGCTTCACAGTCGCGCTTAATCATGGATTGGACATCATGGACGCCTCGAAGGGTAATATCCATACGTCGGATAATTGTCAAGCGGTCAATGCAGCCCTCCCGCATGGCCAAGTCCACTTCATCTTCCGTGATTATACAGGAGCGAGTTGGACATCGATTCGTCGGAGATGTAGCCTGAGGCCATGGTGCGTGGGTGTCGTGGGGACGGGAAGGGGGGGGGGCTTGGTGCTTAGAACTTGAAAGAATCAAAATGACTGTTACGATCTGGTTGGAGCAACCACTACTATTGACAACATAGCACCCGCGATGAGACAGCAAACTCTGCGGCTAATTGTGTCACTGACGAGATAGCGATGCTCGACACTACGGTCTTACAAATTAACAACCTAACAACAGTGTATCATACACATGCCAACAGCCTAACACACACGCCACATACTAACAAATACAATATGAAAACTTCAATAAAAACACAATTGACCAACAAATATGTAACAACGCCAGAGCTTCAACCACACACAATATTTTCCAACAAAAATACAACAACTTCAAACTTCAACCGCACACGACGACAACCGAATACAAATATCTAGCAAGTACACAGCACTCATGCAATTACACAACACTAAATTTTACACCACATCCCCAACAATATTTAAAATTTAAATTTTTTTTTTTCAATCTCTTGCATTTATGATTAATCGTGTAACCTCTTGGGGTGATAATTGTTGACCCAAAGTTGACCAAAAAAGCGTGTTGACCTCCGTTGTTCCATTTTTGACCCAAAAAAGCGTTAAAAAGCGTTGACCCAAATTTGACCTGCGCAGCGGTTGACCCATAAAAAAAGTTATCCTTCCTAACCATCTACGAGAGAGACCGTCCCATGGCGTCAAAATTAGGGTGGTCCACATATCGTACATAATGTGTCTTGGTCGCCGAGCGCAGCGAAGGCGGCACCCGCGTGCGTTTCTAGCGCGCAGGGCCCGCCCTACAACTATGTACTAATAACACGGCGAGTAGTGCAGTGAGCCGACGAGGCGAGGCGATTACGTCACCCCCCCGCCGTGACGCCTGGCCTAATATAATACTTTTCGGAACACCTGCTATTAATTAAAATGGGCCCACCGCGTAGTAGCAGCGATAGCGCAGTCCGCTTAAACATATAATATCATGCATAGTGGCAGCGATAGCTGGGCTTGCCCTACTACATAGTATAATTTTAATTCAGCGAATTGGTTAAATATAAGCACATTGTAAGCCATAGCAGCGCATAGTTAGCTATAGCAGCGCGTAGTCAGCGATATGAACGTATAGTTAGCGATAGCAGCACGCAGAAAACGATTGCAAAGCGATAGCAGCGCATAGTAAATGATAGTAAATGATAGCAGCGTATAGTAAGCGATAGAAGCGCATAGAGGGCGATCGCACCGACGTAATAAGCGATAGCAGTGCGAGTACATGAAGCGAGAGGTACAGTAGCTGAAGACGATTGATTAATAGTTTCAGGTTAGTTTTTGTGTAATACTTAAGTACTTTAGGGACGGATATATTATAGCTGCAGCGGTGCTGAGTGCTCATCTATAAAGACATATAGCTGCATTGGCTTCAACGTGTGGCATGTATCTGTAACTTATAGTATTTAGCGGTAAGATAATGGGTTCTGGGGATAGTAGATGCCTAGACATGCATTGGAGTGGAGGTTTTATTGTAGTTCATACTGACATTCCATTGACGCGTTTCCCCACACTCTAACACTACTGATGAGCCGTACAATACCTGCATATCAACGAATTAGCATTGCACGCTATATGAATTTTGAACGCGACGGCGATACTTTCGCTATTCAACTATAGGTAGTACGCAAAAGTGTTAATGTGCATTACGTAGTAGAATAATTTACTGATACGCATGTCTTAGCTCGTTAAAAATGAGATTTGAAGCGGGATACGTCGAAATTAACGCAGCCCACAGCTCATTACATTCTTAGGGCCGTACAAAATACTGAAACGATGCAGCACGATATATACACGTTTTTTTTTTTTAAAGAAAACTAGCTCGAAACCTAATGCGAGAGAGGATCAGACTATTCTATTAACTGTTACTTAAGTACAAGATGTCTGGTAAGTCCTAAGCCAGGATATCAGCGCCGGTGTCTGCAAAGAGCCCGGTGGCCTTACGTGGCCCACCACTTGCTGTGGTGTCTCATGTAGGGGGCAGTCATACATATCTAGGCAGAGCAGTAGCCGTGTGCCCTGGACCATTGTGTGCGGTTTGCTCCGCTTTCGTTTAGCCAGTGCACGTAAGTGTTGCCCTGCTGCTTGCCTGAATTCTCTCACGCTGCTTTCTTGTGAAACTCGACCACCTTGGCGAACTACTCAGTTTCGCTGTATCCAAAGTGACGTTACGCAGATCGTGCACAGGATCCGCCACATACGCTTCCACTCCCCTTCGTATGCTTCCGATTCATCTTCGAAGACGGTGGCGAACCTGGTTCGAATTCGTTGAAAAATCGGAGGTGCCAATCTTGACGCACAATAGCGCTCGAACGTCCGCACCTGCTCCGGACTCTGCACCTGACCTGTCCATCGCTGTGCTACTTCCTGCCAGCACGCTTGGGCACATGGACATTGCCAGAATATGTGCTCTAACGTCTACTTTTGTCCTTGGCATCGATCGAGTTTGCGACAGCTATTGTTCTGCTGTCGTCCATCAAAATATAGGTTTAACTGGCATGTTGCCAGCCTGTATGCAACCCATACCTGATACTCCGACAGCATATTGCCATGTGACCAGAGTTCTTTCGGTGTCTGTCGCATAACGTGATTTTGCCATCGATTTCGTGTTGCCCGTTCGTCGAGGCGGTGAATGACTCGGCCTAAGGCTGCTTTGTCTTCTCCCCCTTTGCACCGGCGGTATGGTTGTTGCTTCAGCGCCTGGACGATATGTCTGTTCGCAATCGTGTCTGAAACCTCCCACGGGTATCTGTGTATCCACGGGTGTGCCTGCATGACCAACCCACCTCTCCGCTGTGTATTCTCGAGCTTCGTGATGTCAGCAGCTAAGCTTTGTGGTAGGGAATGGTGGTCTCTGAGTTCCCAAAGTATACCATCTTCGTGCTGGTGCAGCCAAAGGGAAGCGACTTTCCGTCGCTGGTCATCGAGGACGACTCCACTAACTGCCCCTTGTGCATTCACTGTCCACAAATATTGATGTTGTAACTCCGGTTGATGCCGTAGATCCAGCTCCCGCTTTACCCGCATCTCCTCCGCAATCCCCAGTGGTGGCGATCCAAGAAGAACTGCCAAACCCCATCGGCCCAGCTTTGGTCTGGTGTGGTGCTTGGTTTCCCCTAATGGAGACGGGATAGCGATAGAGTATGATGCTACCCCAGTTCGCTGAATGTGTAGCTCGGCTAACGCGCACACTCGGATCCGATGATATTTCTTTCTTGTAAGCACAGCTCCCCCTACTTCCCGTAGCCAAGGATTGTCACTCCACAAGAAGGTAGGCCAAAACCTCTTGTCTACCTCCCGCCAAGTCCACGTCTGCTCGGGTATGGGTGAATTCAAACTGAATTCGAGTGTGTTGCCATCCCGCCAACACGCCATTTCACTCAACAGCGTGGCCATGTGGCTTTCGCGATAAACCTGCATTTTCAGTTCGATGTCCGAGTCGGGTGCGAGCCCTCCACCTATCACCGACCGCAGCCTCCTCCCTGGAAGGACCAATCCTCTGTTGTGCTGCTGCAGCAGAAGCTGTGGAGAGATTGACCCCACTTGAGTGTCATCCCCTCGGAATGCCCATGATCGCCACGCCCCATAGTAATTATCCAGCCGTTGGGTGAGCCACAAAAGTGCAAGTTTCATCCGCTGAGTTTTGATAGCCACACCCACCGAGACCAGCCCAATACCCCCCGCTCGCTTTGGCGTATAAAGTAAGGCTGGGCTGACTTTGTGTCGGCTGGGGTCTGAACTAGTGGAGTGTCTCCAGAGAAACTGTTTCTGAAGATTCCGAATTTCGCGATCCGCCCAGTGTGGCAGGTCATACACTCCTGCTGTAAATAGAATTGCCGGCATCATGATAACGTTCAACAGCGTCACCCGCATTTCAACGCTCGTTGCCAGTTGCGCTGCCGTCGCCAACCTGCGCCGTATATTCCTGATGCGAACAGCCCAATCGTAATCCGTCATTGGGCCCGTCCCGATATAATATCCCAAATATCGTACTGCATCACCATGTTGGAGTACCGGTATGCTGTAGAATTCCTCGAGGCAAATGGCCGTGTTTAGAAATATAAGCCTGCTCTTTGCGGGCTGGACATGAAGGCCAGAGAGGTCCCCGAATCGTTTGACGATCTGCATCACTCTGGGGATGTATCGAGCCTGGTTGACGAATACGGTCGAATCGTCGACGAATGCCGAAAACTTATGCACTGCGCCGGCTGTACCGGGTACTTGTAAGCCCTGGACGGTCGTATCTTGGGCTATCGCTAGCGCCAAGATTTCTGCAACCAGTAGAAATAACAAAGGTGCGAGTGGACACCCTTGCCGGATGCCAGAACGCACTGTCGTTGGATCTGATAGTTCCCCATTGACAAGGAATTGCGCCGTTGTATCCTGATGCAGTTTCCATAGTACAATGCAGGCGAAAATCCAAACCGCAGCAATACAAGGAATAGAAACTCTCGCACAACTGTGTCATAGGCTTTTCGGAAGTCAAGTAACAGAATTGCTCTACTCAGCTCTGCTGCCAAGTCCGGTTCACCCTTCGCATTCGCTGCAATCGCCATCATCATCATAACTGTTTTCATCATCTGGCGTCCGTGGACAAACCCTTGTTGCGTCTCTCCAATTACTTTCCCCAAGATTCGCTGCACTCTCATCACTTTTGCAAATATTTTGTACCCGGTTTGCAACAGCGAAATTGGTCGGTAGTCCATTGCGTCTCCCGAATCACCTTTCTTTCTCAGGGGAATGATCACACCCTCGAGAAAAGAAGCCGGTGGGTACCTACCACGAAGCAGCTCGTTGCCAATTGTCACCATCGCCGGGGCCGTGGTTGTGCATCTTTGAAAAAGTCGTTGTTGAGTCCGTCGGCTCCGGCCGCCTTGTGTCGATTAAGTGCTGATATCGCTGCTATGGATTCATCAAGAGAAATATCACTCATGAGCATCGTGTTGTCGTCGTCTGTCAATTTCCGTTCAGGTGGAATCGAAACGAAGTCGTCTAATTCCTAATCCAGTGTTATGCCTGGTACCGTTCCATGACACTTGCTGAGAATTGGCTTCCACTCTAATGCAAATTTGTCCGCTACAGTCATGTTGCGCCCGAACTCCTCGCCGTTGATCCTATTGATTCCCGTCACATGCTGATCACACTCCCAGTCTGAAACCCGTTTGAATTGCCATCGAAGTCATTCCGTGGTTCGTTCTAGCTGTTGACCGATTCGCACCATCCTCTCCTCCCTGAGTTCCTCCACACTGGCTGCAATCAGATCTCGCCGGCTGCTGAGGTGCTGTCTCGCTTGTGAGCGAATCTTTGCTCCGTAGCGCTTTTGTCTTTGATTCACCCGTTTCCGCACCTTCTGGATGCAATGGACACATTTGCGTGCCTCAGCATCCCACGTCGCTGCGGTAGTGCTTTTGCCGACTTCCTCCATAATAAGCTCGTTCATAAGCTCATCTAGGACCCGGTCGGACTGGGACGAACGTATTGGGTACGTTACCGGTCGACTAGTCCGGCATGGAGACGGTGTTTTATCGTGAGCCATTTGTAATCGCACGGTCTGATGATCGGAGTGAAGCGGCGGCTCTGCTACCGATAGCTATTGAACTGCAGCCGTCCAGGTCCTAGGCACGTAGAATCGGTCGGTTCGACTGGCCGCGTGATAGCTCCAGAATGTGTAAAACTCGATTGGTTGCGGTGGTTCTTCGTCATCAACATGCCCGGTTAGAATTTGCGCGTCTTCAAGTGCTAGCTGACGTTGCAGTTCCTGTAGCGCTGCACTTTCCGGTCTTCCCGTCTTTCGTTCGCCGAGTCTGTCGAGATGAGGGTTTTGCACGCTGTTAAAACCCCCAGCGAGAACAACGTTGCTGCCGCCCCATGACCAGCTCTGTAGACCAGTGAAAAACGCCTCTCGTTCGGTTGCATCATTCGGTGCATACACATTGACCAGTACCAACTCGTCCAGTTGCACGGCCATTGCACATTCCGACCACAGTTCCGGATGCCACGGAGCAGCCCTCCTAGCAACGTCTGGGTGCAGAAGTATAGCCACCCCATCGGAGCGCCCATTTCCATGACTCCACTAGGAGAGCGATGTGCTGACATCCCTGTGTGTTTTCCCCCACTGTCTTCTCTAATCCGCCTGCAGCCCCACCGCTTCCGCTCTACTCTCCACATGAGTTTCTTGCACTAACCATACCATAGAGCGATCATGCTGCGGCGATCGACGCCAGGCTGCCATCCATTTGTCCCTATCTCCTTCCTTGAAACCCCGCAGATTTTGCGTTTCGAGTCTGAGTTGACTGCCCTCACTGAGTCTGCGGTGGTCTTCCTTCACAGTATCAAACATATTCCTGAGCTGGTAGTAATCCCCGTACAGATCCGTGGCTGCAGCGATTTGCTGCTGCCCCACTCGTGTCACCTGGGAAATGCCCTTAGTACTGAAGTGCTGCCTCTGTGCCTTCGAGTTCGAAGGCCGAGGCAAAGTACTGCTCGACCGCAATCCAGTTGACCCCATGATCCGCACCGTAGTAGGCAGCCTTATATGCCTCCACGGTGCGGATCTCGAAACCTAATGCTGAGAACATGAATAGCGAAGCCGTCACTTTGGGCTTATCGCCTGATCACAGAATGTAAATGTTATAGCCTACCAACCGTATAGAGAAACAAACTATAGTTATGCGATAACATGATAAAAAAAATAGGTATACAGACTTCAAAGTGAGCACACTGTAGATAGCAACACCGTATTGCTCTACCCCACCACGACATGTAGCTCCTGCCAAAGTTTAATTCTACGACATGTCTAAATACAACACACAGATTACTTCAGGTATGTACTCCGCGGGGACTTTGTAATCGGATTAAGTAGTTGCACCTGTTTGGACCCGGTTTACAACAGGGTACCGTACGATAGCTCGAATGTTTTACCTTACTACATTCATCTACTCTGACTTAGGGATATGTATTAAGCTGATTTCAGTCACGTCACACTACTGATAGTACCTCAACGTAAATAAACATATTTTTACATACACACAAGCAAAATTTAATAACCTTTAAACTAAATAAAAGCCCACCGGAGCGAAGCACAAAACTACCGCCGCGTAGCGGCGGCGCTCGGCTAGTCTACAACAACTAATAGAGAGATCTGTCCGTGTGAAAGTCCGTGTGAAGCCCGTTGTCCACTTTAAAGGTGGTCCACATAATCGTACATAGACAGCCGTGGACGCCGCAGCCGCCCCACCCCAAGCTGCCGAGCGCAGCGAAGGCGGCACCCCGTGCGTTATAGCGGGCCGCAGGGCCCGCCCATTACTTAATTACTAATAATACTGCAAGTAGTGTAGCGAGCCGACGAGGCGAGCGAAACGGGGGCGCTTACGTCACCCCTCCTGCGACGCTTGGCAACATATTATCTCTACGATATTATTTGGCCCACCGCGTAGTAGCAGCGATAGCAGAGCCCGCCCAACTATATAATAGCACTGCGAGTAGTGCATAGTGGCAGCGGTAGCTGGGCTTGCCTTATGTCCCGAGTGGGAACGGTGGTCACCGTCTCGGGTACGGTCGCGGCCGTCCTCCGGCAGCCTGTCAATCAGCGCGTGGACTACTACTCGAGAATCAGCTGTTCGAGGATGAGCTGACTGAGCAGTCATCGGAATTTAGCGAGGATTAGCTGGCGGCGGGCCAGTTGCATAGACGAAGTGTCGTCATGGAAGCAGTGGCGTGTTCCGCGAGTAGGCGGTGACGTGAGGAGACAGGATGGAGGTCACGAGCGCTGCGTGGCTCGGGGCGTGAGCCTTGACGTGAACCAAGGGCGGAGGGGTGAAAGGAGGTGACCATGAGTTCGGGGGCGGCGGTGTGTCGACGCTCAAGTTGAAGAGAAGCAAGAGAGAGAGCGGGGCGCAGTGCTCCGTGCGGGGTAGGTTGGTCAGTCGTGAATTTGCCGTGGAAACAACAAGTTGAATCTTTGCATTTGACTTTGTTGTATTTCATACCGTTCCTTACCTGTCCGTACCGTCCTACTTCGTTCTCGCAGCGGCAGCCGTCCCTTCCAGGGCGACTCGCGACACGTGGTGGAGAAGTAGGGTACTGACTTCGCTGTGAAGTGGGCGTCGGACAGTCTGGTCGAGTCGGTGGCGAGGTGACTGCAGCGCGTTGGAATCGCGATCAAGAGCTCGTCCCTGGGGTCTTCAAGGAGTCTCGGCATCCGCGTAAGACTTGTGAAACAGTCTTGTCTGGAAGTGAAGTGAAGAACGGCACGCTCAGTGCCTCTGGAATTGGTCTACGGCACGCTCGGTGCCCCTGAAGTTGGTCTACGGCTCGCTCGGAGCCCCTGGAATTGGTCGCTGGCTCGCTCGGAGCCCCTGAAGTTTGAAGTTTGGAGTTTACAGTTTGAAGAAGATGTCTGGAGTTGGAGAAGGAGAAGGGTCCGCGGAGCAGCGGACCGTACAAGAAGAAGTGGCGCGCCTGGAGGCTGAACGGCTTCGCAAGGCGGGGAAGATTGGTGCGCCAAGAGATGATGGGAGATTTCTGGGCTGATGAAGAAGAAGATGAGTTCAAGGACGCTGATGAGGAGCGTGAAGGAGACGGTGCTCCCGCGGAGCTAGAGCCCGAGGAGAAGGAGGTGGTGCCCGGCCCCGGGGAGCTACGGGACGATGACGCAGAAGAGTCGAGGGGCGCGTTCTCGAGGCCCGTGCACTACTGGTCGAGTGGTTTCGGCTACGACGACCCTGTGCCGGTCGAGACGGCGCATTCGCGGCCGTTCTACAGGTCCTACGTGAAGGAAGAACCTGAGGAAGTGCCCTCTCGTAGCCCGAGCGGGTTCATTCCGGTGTACACTGGGACGGAGAGGCGGTTGCCGAACCCGCCCATGTACGGTTGGAGTGTTGGGGCGCAGCCTGACGCCTACGGTGGGTGGGGCACGGTCGTGAAGACTGAGCCGAAAGTCAAACAGCTAGTCAAGGCGGAGCCGAGCAAGACGGTGACTCGTGCCAAAACTCCGACCCCGGGCGCGGCGCCTGCGGCCAAGAAACAGTCGACCCCTGTGAACCACGGTGGACCGAACCGCGCATCGACTATGTGGTCCCCGGCTCGCAGCGCGTACGACATGTCGTCAATGGTGTCCAACGTGATGAAGGTATTGCCGGTGTTCTACTCGGACACGGCGACGATGGAGAAGGCTCGTGACTTCTGGGAGCTGTTCGAAGCTCACACAGCCCACCTGCCTGATCAGTCACGGTTGCTGGTGTTTCGCCAGAAGCTCAAAGGGAGGCCTGCGGAACGATGGTGGAACAATTCTACCATTAAGACTTTCGCTACACTAAACGTACGGTTCCACAACCAATTCCTGAGCAGAACGGCTGATGAGCTGTGGGAGCGGCTACAGACTACGAAGCGTGAACGCGGTGAGTCCGTGGAGGAGTGGGGCGATCGCGTCTCCGACCTCTGCGACTCGCTGGACTGCAGATGAGGTACCAGTTGTTCCGACGCGGGCTGCGCAACAAGCGTATGCTCGCCACGCTCGACTCGGGCCCGGCACGAGACATTCCCGAGGCTTGTGAGTGGCTGCTGGCCAAGGCAATGTCCCGTCCCATAGAAGAAGACGACGAGTTCCTCGAAGACAAGAAGGTGACAGACTCGGCCTCGAGCCTGGCGACGGCCACGGCGGCCGCTTCCGCGACCTCGACGAAGCTGGACAAGCTCGCAGAGACGATTACCACGTTCATGACCCAGCAGCAGCAGCAGCAGCAGATGGTGCGGAACCAGTGGCAGCCGCCGCGCTCGCCAAGGAATCGCATGCCGAATGTATCAGCTACGACTTCCACCCCCGGGCCGGGCGGAACACTCCACCTGGGAACGGTCGACCACGAGGGATTCGTATGGGTGCTAACTCACGGACGCAAGAAGGAGCGCCCGTGTGCGGACGGTGCGGCTACGTGGGCCACTCACGCGAGACTTGTCGATGACAGGTGATGATATGCAACCAGTGTGGAGAACTTGGACACATCGCCGTGGAGTGCGAGGACGGACCCAGTCGCGGCCGGGCTGTTGGTCCAGCTCCCGTGGCCAGGAACGGTGGCCGAGGGCCAGTGAAGTGCGGGTTTTGCAAGGAGGACGGTCACTCGTTCGCTGGGTATCTCGAAGTGGAGGCACTCCGAGGTCTGGCCGTGAGTCTGCGAGAAGCTGCGCAGACGTCTCCGCCTCAATGACGAGGGCGGGAGGAAGGGAAGGAGAGAGTCACTCCTTCCTCTTGTCTATTGGATGACTCGGAGGGTGAGGATCGTGACCGTGACGAAGTGGAGGAGACGGTCTCGAAGGTGGATGCATGCTTGAGTGTATTGGCAGAGCCGGAACGGAACGGTATCAGCCCTGGATGAAGTTTCGTATGGAGAAAACAAGGACAAAAACGAGAAAAAGAAAGCTGAATTTATTGTGGTTAGTACGGCTGATGAAGGAGAGGATCTCGCGGTGAAGGTCGGCGACTTGGAACACGAGACGATCTACGAGGACTTGGCCATCTCGGCGGCCGCCGCCGACACGACCGTCGCGGTGGGAGAGTCGGTCGCCTTGGCGGCCGACGTGAAGACCGGTGGAGTAGAGGAGGCCGAGCCGGCCGAGTTGAAGGCCGAACCGACTGAGGAGAACGCGCCCGAGTTGCCGAGCGAGAAGAAGGACCCGGACGAATTGCCGAAGGTCGCGTCGCTAATGGAG